TATAAATTAGTAATAAAAATAATATAATATATATATATAAAAGTAATCTCAGAGTCGCTGCTGCTGCCTCCGGAATGGTGGCATCCCCAAACAGGCAACGCGCGCCACGCCGCTTTGTCCGCCCACCCCTGCTCGCGGCCCGTACCCCACCGCGTCATGCCCGCCAAAGTATAAAGATCATGGCCTCCCCCCTCTGCTGCGTCAAGTACACTCGACTTCCTTTCTCCTCAACTCGCCGCCGCAATGGGCTTCCTCTCCGTGGCTGAGCCCCTTGCGGTGCTGCCCCCTTTTCCTTTTTCGCCGCCCCCTGGACCTGTCTCCGCCCGAGCGATCCTACACAGTCCCGCCGGATAAGCCCAGGCGAGCTGTTCCTGTTGCGCTTTGTCCTTGGTTGGTGGCAGCGGCTCTGCTGCAGCTTCTCGCCCATGTACGGGGTCGAAGTTGGCCTACTATCTGGAGCAGAGTCTGCCTAGTCTGTATGTTTATTTACTCTACCCCCAAAAACTCAAATCTGTCTCGTGCTCGTCGCTTACCTCTTCTCACTTGCAGGCACCGCCCGATTGCTCTCGCACTGCTGAGTTATTGATCATCCGCGACATTTGCTTGGCCAATCACAAAAATGCCTCACTATGCATGACAAGCCTGGTTTGCTGAAATTACATCGGCTGCCACGGCTCCTGTGGTCCGAATTTCCAGACCACGAGACGCCACCGGTCAGCATTTACACGTCACGGGACTGGAAACGAGGGAGGCCTCGACCGCTCGATGTTTCGGATATACTCCCTGAAGAGGGGATATGTGCGTTGTGGCTTTCCTGCCAGACGGAAAATGGCGACGTCGCCGAGTATGGCGCCCTGTTTTCGGTCATTCTGCGGAAGAGCCGATCGCGGTCACGGTTTCAGGAATCAGGCCACTGGTCATGTCCAGCCTTCCCAGCTACCCTGCGCAATCAGACGGGCCGATTCGGCAGCGCCGAAAGGTGACGTGTCACCGACTTTCCGAGCTATATCCTGCAGCATATGGGCGGGCCATGCAGATACGAAAGCACAAAGCACACTTCGTCTCACTCGGCAATTGCATGATTGGTGCGGAGCTGGACCTGCGACCAGGCTATGCTGGGCTTACTGCGTTCATTCTGCTGCGAGGAGGTCGCCGCCGTTGCCTGGCTGGGCGTGGGAGACATTCTTGCGAACTTTGGAGCTTTCGGCGCCGGCACGGCCAGCGAGGTCCAAACAAAGAGTGCTGGCATCTGTCTACTTAAAGGCCTCGTAAGCCCGAGAGGTTTGGCGCAGTCGAAGCCGAGGTCAGCCCTTCCTAGTAAGTCCAGGTTTGTTGTTCACAGGTAAGCACTGCGACAGCACAATGACGGCCATTTCCACCCCCGACCAGCACGCCTCTTCTACTGCCACAGCGGCAAGGCAAGATCGCGATATCGCGCCTGCGACATGCTCTAAAGTTGCAGAGCACGGAGACAGACCACCTGCTCCAGCTCTGATGTCTCGGCATCCGTCCCAATCTCCTGCATATGAAGCCACAGGCGATGGCCCAAATGAGGCAATTCTTATCTCCACTGATTCGGAATCGGAGTCCATGTCGGAGTCGGACGGCGAAACGGACGATGACGTTCCGTCTCTCAAGACAATGTATGAACGTATCGACAAGGTGACTACAACACAGCCTACTACTTCGTCAGGTGAGTTACCTTCTAAGCCCTGATACACCGTCAAGCAGAGGAAGCCGAGCGAATATCAAAGCTAATCATTGTGCCAGCAACAACCATAACAACTGTGCCTAATACGCCGCGAGACGTTTCACTAGGTTCTCAAGTCGAAGACGACTTGGATGGGGCTATACAATGCTCCTGTTCCGCTTTTCCCACCACCTCGCCCCCTCCAAGGCAGGCGTCTAGGGATGAGCCAGACTTGAGTCGGTGCTCACCAAGTATACCCACTGAGGTAGCTGAGCAAGGCCGTGGGCAGGCAGAGGACGCAGACGTGTCACTCTCAAGCCATCGTGACAATCGTGAACCGAGCTGCTGTGCCGAGCTGCCGCGGCAGACTCAGCCGCATGAGGGCGCCACTCACAACGGTTCAGCGTACATCGATGGCGACGACAACATCGCTGATGATGGCGAAGGTGATAGCCTCCCCCGCGATGCCGACAGCGACAGCAGCAGCAACAGCGACGCCGGTAATGACGGCGATGACGATGACTACAACGATGACGGAAGTTTTAGCGATAGCGACGGCGAGGATGGCGGCCACCATATAAAGCGCAGGGCGGACCAGTCGCCTTCAGTGACCAGTTCCGACGATGGTCATGCTGACGAGCCTCCTGATGACAATATGGCGGTGAAGACCCCTAGACCGCACAAACGCCAGAAGGTCGCCCATGACGGAGCAGACATGAGGGATGTCTGCGGTCAGAACCCTATGCCTCGCTCTAGAGGACCTCCGCTACGATCGCCTAGACGGGCTCAGACAGCCGGCATGCTTAGCCCACCAGCCTCTCACAGCCTGTCCGAATCTGAGAGCGAGAATGGCTCAGATCGCAGAAAGGCGTCGTCAGCATCCTTCGGCGAATGGCAGTTGCAAAACGCTGCATTAAAATGCGTGACGATCGACGGAATTACTACGTTTCAACTGCAGTTCCAACGAGTGCAGGCGCATTCTTGCACTAGCCGGCGACGGCGGCGACCGCACAAACTGGTCAAGAGCAAGGCCAGGGGTCGAAAAGCAAGGGATGAGACGAAAGGTCGACGATGTGGTGCGTGTAGCCAGCCTGGCCATAATGCGCGAACCTGTCAGGCACGTGCGAGCATTTAGCGAGGACGGCAGCCGTGATTGTTGACTGGCTGTATCTATACGGCCCTCCTGCGGCAGACGCAAGGACTATGGGAGCTCGTGGAATACTAGCAAGAGCAACAGCGAATGCCAAACAGGACACGGAAGATGTTTCTCGGTACGGCGCGTAAAAACACGGTCGAACAGTCAACATTTCTAAATATGAATACGAAACAGCTGCTAAGACGTTAAGAGCTCAGTTTTGCTTCGACGATTCCGTTATCTGAAATGGGCCAGCCGTAGACAGTCTCCAAAAAAATCGCTTAATCCAAGCATCCATCTAAATAAATGCGATTGCTCACTCTTGCCTACCATGCCCCCTATTCTTACAATACGCCAGGCAGCTGACCCGGCAGCCCTATCTTAGGAGGAGCTCGAAGCTTAGTAGGTGGCGAACCACGGGCTGAGGCGACTGGCCTGTAAAGTACATATCCTTCTACTCAGTATGCTATCTAATATAGGCTCCATCCTTGCATGCTTTAGACTGCGACAGCTAACCCAGGTGGCTAGGTACACTCCCCATAACCAGTTAGGTTGCTGAACGCCGCCAACCAAAGCAGCCTTTTCCTTTTCCTTGACGTCTAGCCTCGTGAACCCCGCACCAGCACCATCCTCCCAGCTGCGCGGAAATGTCGACAGCCCATGCATCTGAACGGCGGTGCCTCACCGAATTTCCGGATGAAATTCTCCTGCAGATCGTAGACTGCTTGGATAACAAAGATCGCAGCCACTTCTTGCGAGTATGCCGTCGTTTCCTCAATCTCTTGATCTACGACTACCACCGATACGATAAGCATGGTCGGACGCTTCTGATCACGGCGGCCGCTCTGGGACATGTGAAGTCGGTTATAGACTTGCTTCTAGCGGGCATCGATACTGGCCACAAGGACTATTCTGACAATACGGCACTGCTGTGCGCTGCTGGAGCAGGACGCCATGCCGTTGTCCAACTGCTGCTCACGGTCGGCGTACGAAACGCCGAACCTGCGGATGATCTGGCCTCCAGATTGACCACGTTGAAGAAATTCGATCGGCAGGCAACGCGCCTAGGTGGTCTGACAGCGTTGTCAGCAGCATCGCGTAACGGGCACGAATCGGTGGTGAGGCTGTTGCTTGCAGATCCCGATGTCAATCCCAACCATGAGGATGGCCTCAGTCGGACGCCGTTGACATGGGCATCGACGCGAGGGCATGTGGCGGCTGTACAAGCGCTGCTATCGCACGAGGGTGTCGATGCTGGTCACAAGGATTGGAATGGGGATACACCGTTGGCGTCAGCAGCGGAGAACGGCCATGTTGACGTGGTTGAGCTACTACTAGCGCACACAAGGGTAGACCTGCACTCGACAAATAGGGAAGGGAAGACACCGCTGTCGTTGGCGGCGCAGATGGGGAAGGTAGAGGTTGTGCGACGATTGCTGGCCGCAGGGGCTGACCCAACGATGAAAGATGATCGTGGTTTTAGCCCTGTTGACTTGGCCAAAGGCAGAGATGACCGCGTGCGGCGTGGACTTGATGAATTGGCGAACCAACAGGCTGTGATTAAGCTGTTGAACGGCGCGATAGTGGCTCGAGAGCCGAAGGAGCCTGCTCTCTTGCGTTACTCCATCCAATTTTTAGAAGGCATTGCTGTTGTAGCTCTATTCTCGTTGGTATTTTCCCGTCCGCGCAAGAGAGCTGCCTTGCTGGGGTGAGCGGGACCGGTTCGTCTCTGGTGAAGAGAGCTGCAGCGGGCTTATGGGCGTGAGCAGAAAAGTGTGTGCTCCGAACGGTGTGTCCCTCTCGGCGGGCTTGGACGTTGGGACCGTTTGGCACGGTGGTCTATAGGGGCGAAGTAATACATAATGCGGGCCGCAATCCAAAGTCCCATGATTGGGTAGAACAGGATGCTGCGCAGAGCCGGCTGCGCTGAACTCAGCGCCTGGAAGAAGCCGTCCACTCGTGTTTTGCGCAGCCGCCTTCAAGGACTCTGATATATTTGTCGCTTGATAGATACTGTATACGGACTGGACTAACAAAATGGATAAGGACCGGCAGCTGGCAGTTTGCAAACTAACACACTGTTGACCACGACTGGATATCATCCATGCCAACCCCTACCAGCACGTCCACTGCCTCCTCGCTCTTCGTGTTCATCGTAGAAGTCTGGCGCCTCAGAGGAATGAAACCTTCCCCCCCCTTTTCAACCCAGGAGATGACATTTTCCACTGCGTCTCGAGGCGAATGCCTGTGAGCAATCAGAAATGACAAGATCTGAGCCGGGCTATATTTCATCGCAGGCACACGATCAGCGAACATCGCTGCCAGCTCCTGGATATGCTTCTGGGTATCCTGAGCGTCTTGGTTGTTGACGACTCCTTCGTTCTTGTCTCCTACTCTCTCGGTCTTGCTAGACAAGGGCAGATAGACGTATCGGAACAGCCCCAGCAGCATCTCTCGACTTGCTAACCCGAATTCAACCATCTTGTCCACACGTCCTGGTCGAATGACAGCCGGGTCGAGGCGATCAACATGGTTAGTTGTCATGATCAAAGCTCTTCCCTCCACGGAACCTGCGCCATCAATCGCGTTGAGAAGACCAGAGAGTGTCACGCTGCTGCTTGTGCTCGACCCAGCATCGCTGTTTTCACGACTCTTTGCGCTTTCAATTGCATCGATGTCCTCTAGGAGGAGGATGCATCGTGTTGGCAGTTTGCGCATTAGGTCGCTCAGTGTCGCATCGTTGACTTTGGACAGGTTCATCGCGTAGACGTCTAGACCAAACTGTCCAGCAGCCGCCAAGCTGAGACTTGTTTTGCCAGTTCCGGGCGCGCCATAGAGCAAGTAGCCACGGTGGTAGAGCTGGTCGTGCTCGGCGTACCAAGCTACGGCCTCTGGGTCAAGGTACTCCGCAATGTCGTCAAAGAAGTCCTTTTTCACGTCCTCGGGAAGGATGACAGTATCTATCCGCTTTTGACCCCGTCGCGTAGCGAGATTCCAGCGGTCATCGCTGTTCATGTAAATTGCGGTCTTGCTTTCCGTTTCTTTCTCCAGCGTAACCTGGCAATCGTGAAGAAATTCTTTCAGAATTCCGTTCGACGTACCCATGCAGGAGAGCAGAAACCGTTCACGATGCAAGTACCCTTCTTCTGGGACAGCGCGCAGGTAAAGAAGCTTGCTTTTGTACCAAAAAGACTTGCGTAAGTTCTTTGGACTGTACTGCAATGTGTTCTTTGTCTCTCCGTTCCCCGGCTCGGCTCGCTTTCCGAGAGTCACAATCGTGGATCGAGTGGCCCAGTCCTGGGAAAACAGTGTCCAGAAACGACACCTGCGAGTAAAGAGCACCAACTGTAGTGGATGACATGATGTTTCAAGGCTGAATTATAATCAAGTAGCGGTCGACGGCATTAATGTTATGAGCTTGCTGATAGAAGAGAGAAGAGAGGAGCAAAACATTTCAGGAAGCATTGAACTACATGGGGTCTATATAGACGGCGGAGGCGAGATCTGCTTCGCTCGCGATACAGCAGAGACGGTATCTCTTCTCACCTCCGCCTTTGTTTGACGGTCATGGATCGAGAGACCTGCATGGAGGAGCTGGCTCTCCTGGATACGTACCGAACTGTTCCTGCAAGTATATCACAACTTAGCGCCATGGTTCATAATTGGAAAACTGGGTACTTGCTACTTTGTCGTCCCGTCATTCGTCACCCCTTTTTCCCGCCCCCGCCGCGTCCTCTGTCGCCTCCTCTGTCGCCTCCTCTGTCGCCTCCTCTGTCGCCTCCTCTGTCTCCTCCTCTGTCTCCTCCTCTGTCTCCTCCTCTGTCTCCTCTTTCGTCGTTATCGATTTTGGTGTCATCATCTCTACACACTTCTGCCATGCCAAGAAAGTGCCAGAAAGCAAAAAGCCCAGACGATATCTGGAGAGAGATTCAGCAGGCATTAGTCGAGATTGAGGATCGGAAAGGGTTAAGCGAACCGGAAGTAGACCGGCTCTTGGATGCCAAAGCACATGTACTACAGCCTATCGCTACACGTTCAAATCGCTCAGAGAGATACGGAAGGTTTCTTATTAAGGTACGAAGAGCATGCGACTCAACAATGCAATTACTATGTGCTGCCGTTATCCGGAAGAACTGGGTGCGTTACATGCACGTACGAGATATTCCTAAGTTGGTCGAGCTTCTGGCAGACAATCAAAGTAAGCTCAAGTTTTCGACCAATACTGTTCCGTCTCTCGCAACCACTCATTTTCCGCGAGGTAAGTTCCTTCAACTGTAAGGAGGCATTCTTGTTGATACTTTCTTGAACCCTGACATAGCAGCTACTTACTAGAGACACATGAACTAAACTACTTGTTTTAGAAACGGTGGCGAGAGACGTTTGGGAGAACTCTGTGGACACCACCGCGGCAGATCCAGGTGCAACTCACATGCCGGGACAAGAAATAACGGAGGAGTCGCCTGGAAATGCCACGCCAACAAATCCAGACGCAACTCAGGCGCCAGGGCAAGAAATCAACCGCCCTCCGGCAAGCATCTCCCGATCGATAGTGTCAGGGATGCCCTGGCAGACCAAAGAATTTCAGGTGAAATGGTCAAGACAAGGCATCACCGCTTGTTTTGACGAGCAATTTGCCCACGTCACTAGTTGCGCTGAAGGGCAAAAAATAAGCATGATCTTTCCAGAATGGGCCTTTGATGATTGTGTGATATCAATTCCTCTAGACTTATTCACAGCGAAGAGCCTCGTGCAAGTGCTATTTGGCATTGTGGTTCATTTGCAGGGCGAGGCCCCCCCTGCCGACAACGCGGTTATGGTTACATGTGATGGATCAAGAGAAACTGTCTTCAGACGTCAGACTGGCGATGCTATAGCCAAGGCTCTTGGCAAGAAACTATGGGAGTATACTAATAAAAGTCGAGGCCGACAACTGGAAGGCAACAAGGAGCACACCGATTGTGCCTCCGTGTCGATTTCAGGAAAACACTGCTCTCTCAGCGTTTCTATTGGCACAGAAGCTGCCACAGAGGTGCTAAAGGAGTTGCAAAAGGGTATTTAATTGAAATTGTTTAGGTTTCTTGATAAATTTTGCCGGAAAAGGCGTAGAGCTTCTCGCCGTGATCGAATTGAGCCTTTCCGTCTTTGAATGGAATCAGAGGTTGAGGTTTCTCCTCCACGCTTTTCGGCGTTATGCTGGCTTCCTTCCAGTAAATCTTTTTCCCATTTCCATAATAATATTTCGGTATAGTAATCTCTTCGGCTTGATTCCAGTCAATATTTTCGGTACCATCCAATGGTTGGGGTATGAAGGTCTAGAGTTTTGGTTAGCGCAGTAATTCCAGGAGAGCGAAATTTTCGTACCATTGCGTCGGAAGTGTGATGGCTGTCAAACTCGCGGTCGCCACTCAATAATGCTTTCGCTGAGTACGGCCATGATTAAGTCGCTTTGCGGTATAATAATACTTGGTCGCTGCCTTGGGCAGCAGATAAGTTTTGCAATTTCGCGGGGCAACGAGAGGGCCGGCCTGAGCACGTGATCTCCACGTGTCCACTACCGAGGCAGCTCTGCGCCTTAGGCAAAATTTGCTGAAATCACGCTCATGCTGTAATTTTGCGAACTTTGAGGGTCGATGGACGTGCAACGGATTATGATGAGCAGCTGTTGCTCGGTTGCCAGGCATGCATATGCCAATCAGCCAGGTAAAAAGAAACAGTCAAGCCACACTTGAAAGCGGCTCATTCATCTGGTCCCCTTGTCAAAATGTTTTCAAAGATTCCCCATAATGGAACTAGTGTCTCCAAGCGTGGTCACTTTTTTTGAGTCAATGTGTTGAAGCTGTGGCTGTATTGGAACGGGTCAGCCAATCAGGTTCGGTGACGTAGTCCACCAATAAGGGGAAGAGCCTGGAACAGATACCCACATAAATGCCTATGCGCGCACACAAAAGGAGGTATCTTTTCCAGGGGGCTCCCCTGAGAATTAGCATCATCATCATTAATAGAGAATCTGCCTGTATTCGCAACTGTGCAGTCCGGGTACTCATCGTCTGATCGCTTGCGCATTCAGTCCATCTATCGTAAAGCTCAGACCCACTGTTGCTGATACAATGTGCTGGTTCACTATCTGCGGTGTATGGGTAAGAAATAAGCTGTCTGTAGCAACTCTGAGCCTGATAGCGCTGTGTGATTGGCCAAATCTGCGTGTGGGCCAATCCTTCAGGCATGTCTGCTCTAAATTTGATTTTCAAAAGGGGGATACCGCAGGGGGATACCGCAGGGGGATACCGCAGGAGCTACATTAAGGTGCATATACCAGGTATGTTCTGTAATCAATCAGTTTTTAGTTGACATGAGCTAAGATCAAAGGCATGCATCGATCGGGGGACAGCCTGAGCATGAGTATTTGAATGTAAAGTACAGCACCCGCAGTCCGCTGCCCGGAGGCTGTGACTTCTTGAAGTCAACGTCAATCGTTGGGAACATCATACTTGGGAAGCGGAGGGTGTTTCTCCGAAGTTGAGCCGACACAGGCTGAGCTGGTGCGAGGCTTACTGGGTTGGTTCCCTGAACTAGAACTGTTTGAATCGTTTGCCTATGCCTAGTGACAACACGCTGATGATATCACTCACAAGATGTAAAATATTGAATAAACAGTTATAGCCAGTTGAATCTTCCTGTGATTAAATGCTCCTCTTGAGATGGCCATGTCCCTTCGTTAATTCTTATGACAGACGAGGTCTCGCCAGTGATAGAAGTGACGGGTTGCCAGTGAATTGATGAGGACTGTTGTGCACACTGTGATAGCGCGGTGTCCGTCTCGTCCGTTTAGAGGTCAATTTTGAACCACATATTCAACAAAAGCCAGAGATCCCAGACCCCGCTTCCGGTAAACCCCGGCTTCTAGCGGCTGTTAGTCGTTCACCTGGCCTCAGAGCAGTGACTAATCCGCTAGCATAGTTATAAGCGAAGCTGCTCAAGCAATATATCACAGGGCATATAGGTCAAAGGAAGAACTCGGGTGCCTGATTACGTCACTGCACTACATCATCCTCACATCGACTGAGGGAACGATCATGCCCAGCTTGTCCAGGTATCTCCAAAGTAGTGGAGGACGCCCAGTCCCGGAGCAACTGGATGTCTAAGACTTTATCCTCTGCGACACAACTTCTTCCACAAGTGGACCGAGCGAGCAGGTCGCTGTATTAGCAGCGATGATTTGACTGGCTGCCAGCAATGGACATTTCCAGGCAGAAACAGTCGTCCTCTTAAAAAGATTAATGCTACATCTTGAAAATTTAAATATATAGCCATAGTAACGAGTAGAGCATCGGCAGATTATCTGCGTTTAACCATTTTCTTCACCCAACTCCGAGCCTACGATGGTATCCTGCCTACCTAGTGTGCTTGCATCTGCTGGCTCTCGCCTAAATGCGCTGAAACCCAATGGCTTGTGCCGAAAACTGGTCTCCACAGGCAAGCAGCAATTTAGGTCGTAGCCAAGGCTATACATAGGCAGCTTAGCTTAAGGTGCCCCGAATCGGGCATGTGACTAGGTTCTACATCTCAGGCTACAACAACAGTGGGCACGCGTAGGCCTTCTAGTGGGGAACCCAAATGGCCTCTACAATTGTTGGATACGCGGGAGTGTATTTAGATTAAGACAGGGTCTGAATAACAAATGATTAAGTCCGAACTGATTATTCTCTTGCTTGTTCCTGCTTCGTCTTGAGCGGGGGAGTCTCGTTCACTACCCTACGCCCCAATCACTGTAGCGGGGTATCGCTTTAACCAACTTCCTTCATATCCGCATATTTTAGCGTCAAATCATCGTGCAGCTTGTGGCCAATCTAACAACAATTGGGCCCGCAACTTTGCCTAATCAACGTCATCCATCAATCGCTTCATCCATTATCCAGCGGTTCTCTGATCTTGCCCATACTAATAATCACGATGTCTGAAAGGAGAATTCGGGAGCTCGAAAGGCAGCTGCAGCAAGCAAAGGCGCGGGAGGAAGAAGCAAAGGCGCGGGAGCAGGAAGCAAGGGTGCGGGAGGAGAACGAGCGACGCGAAAAGGAAGCAGAGCGACGCAAAAACCGAAATACGACTCTGGCGGAGTACTTGTACAACTGTCACTTCGACCTGTACCGAAAACTCAGGCTCGCTGGCCCATCGAAGAGCTCTACTGGCTTGGCGACATCGGTCGACGGTAAATACTATCCCAGGTGGCTCCGCCCTTGGCATGCCTTTACCGACAGCCAGCGACACGAACACTTCAACGATATCATCCGCACCTGCGGCGAGAGGCGACTTTTTCAACAAGCGAGCACAACAAGAGATAATGGACTAAATTTCGAGCGCAAAAAAGCCGGTTATGAGAATGCTATCGACCACTTCGAAAAAACAGCAGTTGAAGACCCTACGTGGATGGTTTTGGAGCCCGTTTGGGCCGACAGAGAGCTGCGTCAGAAGTACCAAATCACAGATTTAACGTTTATGAATGGCATTCGCAATTTCAATGACCTCAACGAAGCTATTGGCGCTGAGATCAAAACGGGGAGGGGAAAGCAGCAACCTGACGGAGGTGGCATCCGAACAAGCATAGACGGGAACGAGAGCCCAGCTTTCATGTATGATTACAAGGCTGCGCACAAGTTTGCTGTAGAGGACCTCGAGGCCGCTCTCGAGAAGGAGACGCTGTTCATGGATGTCTACAAGTGGGCGCGGACCGACCAGTACAAAACAGACTCGACGCTGCAAAAGAAAGAGCGAGAAGCAGCGCGGATTGCCATGGCACTGATACAAGTCTTCAATTATATGTTGTGGTATGGAGTCGGGTATGGCTATGTCGCCGCTGGGAAATCTTTGGTGCTTCTTTATTACGACCGAGCAGAGCCACTTGTCTTGCGTTGGCACCTTTGCGTGCCAGACAAAATGGTGATTCGATCAACAGCTGAGCTTCATGTCGAACAAGTGTCTCAGACTGCGGTTGCTCAGCTTGCCAGCTTTTGTCTGTTGAGCCTCCGCTCTCAGGCGCTTACGGGCCGTCCGCTCGAGGAGGCATTGGATCAGACTGAAGGGTTTCTAAAAAAATGGAAAAGGGAAGCTTACACGGACCCGGTTACTCCGCAGGAGGTCAGATGACACAGATTCATCTTCATCTAATGCCCTCGCGCGGCACAGATAAATCCTTTGCTTGTGATACATCCCCGGTGGCTCGAAAATACCCTTTGCGATCGAAGGCATCGTGCAAGGATTCTACGTCGCCTCTCGAGTCGCGCGATGAGGACAAAGAAGGCGGGGCAGAGGGCTATCAACGCCGGCACGGAGCAGGAGCCAGCGTCGACAAGGGAGAGAAGGACTCCAGCAGGAAGAACAAAGGCAAAGGCAAAGGCACCGAAGGCTCTGCTCCGGCGCCCACGAAACAATACTGCACACAAGCCTGCCTTCTCGGCCTCAAGCTGGGTCGTGAACTAGACAGCAGGTGCCCCAATGTGCTCTATCACGGTGTTGGCGGCAACACACGCCACCCGATCGACGCTCAGGAGTTGACTAAACTCATGAGCGAGCAGCTGCATCAGGACCCCTACGGGAGCTGTGATGCCCTCATCGGCCGGCGCAAATATGGTTCTAGTGGAGTGCTGTTCAAGTTAGAACTGGCACGCTTCGGCTACACTTTTGTCGGCAAGGGCACCGTGTCCGCACGTCCGAGGCGCCTGGAGCATGAGTGCAGTATCTATCAGCGACTTGAAAAGCTTCAGGGCGACGTGGTGCCTGTTCACCTGGGCATGGTCTCGTTCCGTCCTGGCTACCTCTTGCCTGGCGGTGCGTACGTGATCCATATGATGTTGATGTCATGGGCTGGGGTGACGATGGATATGACGCGGTCAAATCTGGAACGGGAGGTGCAGCGATCCATACAAACGATCTATGAGCATGGTGTGAACCACTTAGACGAACGAGAGCCCAACCTGCTCTGGAACGCTGAGCGATGCCGCGTGATGGTGATCGATTTCGATCAGGCAACCGTCCTACCACCACCCAAACACAAACGATTGTCTAAACTTTCCAAGGCGGGAAGGAAACGAAAGGGGGATGAGTTTAGCTCTAACAGCACGAAGCGGGGTGTGCCGGGTATGCTGAGGCGTTCTATACAGTCCGTATAACCTGTAAGATAGGCTTAGACACGTTCGCGCCGGGGAAGGATCTCATGCGATAAAGAAGATGTTATCTTGGCGGAGATGGATTCTTCCGAGCCCGAACGGTACGCTGGGAGAAGGTAGTCAATTATAAACCACCAATATAACCATGTACTATTTAATCTTGCCCATGCTTTACAACCCCAGCTTTCGTGCCTCCTCGTGCCACGTCTCTGGGCCAAAGAAAGCCGCTATCACATCACGGCTTCCTATTGCGGTAGGTCTGCTGCCCTTTCAACATATCTTGATACCCTACACTTGGCATGTATGAGTCATATCTGCACGGACAATACCAAGGAACCCGGCGTTATGACGTCAACGGCCGAGGCTTAGCAATTTTGCTGGCAAGGGGTCATCATAAAGGACAAGTGGGGTGCTTTAGGTAAATCGAGCAAAGTACCTAGGAAGGGGGGGCTCTTAGGGACAGTGGCATTTCGGGGCTGGGGGGGCACGGGTATTTAGAGGAACTCAGACCTCTAAAAATGTCCTCCCACCAGAATTGCGGCACATGAGTGGTGCCCATAACAGGATGATACCTCTGTAGAGGTACCTTCGGCAGCAGGAACCCCTGTGCAAGTCAAAATTCAGCGGCTCTAGTTCTTGCCGCCAGCTGCCTAGCCTGGCCCATGCGCTGTTGCAACAGGACCCGAAGGCATGGTGTATTGAATAGGAGGCGAAAGTAGACATGCTAGGCTTTCTTTCAAGCATCCTCGTCACATAAACGCCAAGTTTGGATGACAACATTAAGCCCTAGCTGGATTGAAATGGACGGCTGGTCTGCAAGTCTGCTCATTTGGCTCAAGGGAACAAGTGGGTGGCGCATCCTCGCGACAGCGAAAGAATTCAAGCTACGTAGCTTACGAGAGTCCAAATCACTCTTCCGTTTGGCAAGGTCTGACGCGGTTTGACGTACTGTACCGGTAGGTGCCTCTACTCCATGACGTGGAACATCTAGTGCACATGAGGGAGGGGAGCTTCACAGTGTAAGTCCTAATGCAAGAGTCAATCGTAGCGGCCCCAGGCACAGGCACGGTGATCGTAGATTTGGATTCGAAGGTGAGGTTCTTTAGGATGCAATTCCAGCCCTGCAATGTGGTGGTCCCTTATCTCTATGAGAATTATCAAGGCAAAGCGTCGCAAGAGCACGGAGACATGAAAAAAAAGCGTAGGTGTGCAAAGCTTGGACAGCCAATCAGTACGTAGTATTTAGATACAAGGCAAAGCTAGGCAGCAGCGAAAATTCTGGCGCGCATCTCTGGCTTGATGCTAGCCGCATCTGCGCTCTCGTGAACAAGCCCTGCGTCAAAGCTTGGACGGCTACGCTCCAAGCTTGAGTCGCTGATGCCTAATCGATCTCGCATCTAGTTACGTTTTAGCGCCGAGGCTAGGCCAGTCGAAGAGATGGTGGTTGCTATGTAGTGGCTGTGCAATGTGCAGTGGCTGTGCCATGTCTCTCATGTTGCTTCCCAAATGAGGCCGCACCAGATGAGGCGCCAACTGCGCACGAGGAAATGCGCACGAGGAAATGCGCACGCAAGATTGCCCTAAATGAGGCCGCAAATATGAGGCCAACTGGGGCGCTGACTGCGTACGAGGAAATGCGCACGCAATATTGCTCTTTAAATGAGGCCGCACCAGATGAGGTGCCAACTACGTACGAGGAAATGCGTACGCAATTGTCCAAATGAGGCCACACCAAAGGCGCTGACTGCGTACGAGGAAATGCGTACGCAAGATTGCCCTAAATGAGGCCGCAGGGCGCTGACTGCGTACGAGGAAATGCGCACGCAATATTGCTCTTCAATGAGGCCGCACCAGATGAGGCGCCAACTACGTACGAGGAAATGCGTACGCAACATTGCTGTCCAACTGAGGCTGCACCAGATGAGGCATGCGACGTACCAGGACATAGCACATGCTGGGATCTATAATGTGGAGGGTTCCGGGGCTAGAGGGCTCTGGGCTGCTAAGAATAATGCTTGGAACCATTCCAGCTTCGGAGCTTTTAAAAATAATGGCTGGAGCTTGGAGCGTTCCGGCCTCGTACACACCATGTGTTCCGTCCTGAGCATGCGTTATACCAAGATGAGCCAAACAGCATATATTGAATAATTGTATTTGCCGTCCATGATTGTTCGTTTTAGCACCACATCCTGCAAGATCCATTCATCAAACGCCGGATCTGTGGGCTCCGCCACTGCAGGCGCATCTTCATTAAACGAAAACGACAATTCGAAGCAACGCTGATAGTCTGGTTTCGCGGCTACAAACAATTTCATTGCTATCTCATTTTGTATCTGTTTTCGATGCGATGCGCTCAATTTACAACCAGCTCGGCAAAGGCGAGACTATCCGAGTCCTAAAAACAGCTAGGGCAGCCGCCCAGAGCGATCAGCTTTGCGGAAGCTTGCAAGTCGTCAAGTTACAAGAGCGGCCAAAGTACCAAGCTTTATCCTACGTTTGGGGCCCTCCAGAGCAAAATGATCCCATTATACTGATTGACAATTGTCCTTTCCAAATTAGGGCATCCTTATTTCAAGCACTTTCAAAGCTTACGACCCAGGCCTCGACAGCCACTCTGTGGGTTGATCAGATCTGCATCAACCAACTGGACATTAACTGGCTAGCTTAGAGGCGATTCCCTAAGTGTTCAGCGTCCTATCTACAGCGGCTAAAGCGGCGCCTATTATTAGCGACACGATTATTATATGTGGTTTTACTACAGAGCTAGATATAGTGCGGGTGTCCTTAGTCGTTACTTAATCGGCTAGTGGCTAACGCAAATCAGATCGTAGCCCTAACTACTATTATATTAGGTTTCCATTTTATTCTATTAGACGGAGACTTCCCGCTGACATAGAACGAAATGTTACCTCGCTATATATCAGTGCATTCTATCATCTCCTTTCAATATACCTCCTATTTTAGATAATAGAAGAGGAAGTGTTTAATTATTTCACATTTAAGTTCATAAGCACATTAGCTTAACGGTACCGCCCTTATCTGGTGGAGGTATCTATTTAGCCTAATTATATAGGTCCTAAGCTAAGCCAGAATAGTCCGTTTATTCTATAGTAGGTCTTCGTATAGTGCTCTTATGTGTTCGCCTGGTAAGGCTGTGTTAATGCTTTTCGAGTATTTCCCCACGTTCTCTAGGATATGCCTTTCTGCCCTAAGCTTTCTCTTCTTAATATTAAAGGTGGTGGAGAGCATCTTTAGGAATTATTGTTTAGGTCGCGCTCCTTCTCGAGTAGCATCCTTCGCTTTTCTCTTCGCTATATTAAGGAGCTTATCGTCACTCTCTGTCGGCTTCTAGGTAATTAAAATGGAAATTCTATTTTCTTATTAATCCTATATTAAGTTATATATATAATAGATAAATTCTTATCCTGACTGCTGGTGTAGATTCTTTAATGATTACACCGTAGCTTTATTTCTTATTAGGATCGATACGCGCTTATAACCACTCGGTATATGCCACAGCACATACGCTATAGTGTTACGAACGCTGCGGCAGCAGGGGCTAGAGGTCAGGATGACCAGGAAGAGGACCTGCGGGCAGCCTAGTTAGGACGCGGGGTCACGTGACCTCGCGGGCGACCGAAGAGATCGAGGTTCGATCGGGGCGGTCGCGGGCGACGCGACCGAACCATCGACCGGGTCGATCGGAGGTCTACAGTAGAGAGGTAGACGGGTACTTAAGGAGGAGGTATTCCCGTAGCTAGGTAGTCTAGATCTCTACTGATCAATCTAAGCAATAGTTTCACTATTGAGAGTTCTACTCTTGACGAGACCTTACGAAGATACTGCTCATTGCTACTCTGTAGCATTCAACCCGACTCACTACCTAAGAAACAGACAACTGTGGATTAGGATTAAGCCATCGTTACATATAGCCGCCAACGCTCCTAAATATAGGCTCTACTCTACTCTTAGCCTAAGCGTAAATAAGAAGGTCTCTTATTATATATTATATTATATTATACTTAAACATTAAATCACTCCGCCTACCCTAACTACCCTATTACGCGCGGAGCTGCTTGTGGCTATAATGGCTTCTCCTGCTAAAGGACCACCTTCCACTATACCATTTAACACGGCTCTAATCCGCTCTCTCTATGGCTCGATTATAAATAGTTAAATAGATTCTAGCTCCTCCGCCGGCACACCTCGTAACTTACGCGTTACTTAGTATAGAGGCGATCAGAACGCGGGGTATAATTTCTTTATACGCTCTGTTACTTAGCGTAACGGGTTAGTGTTAGGCAACGAGTGTATTACTAACCACATTTTAATCACCCTCTTCTAAAGTCTCTCTCTAGCGCTTACTAGACTGGCCTCCGCCTCTGCCACTATAGTCGCGACCGTAAGGAATGTCCTAATAATCGCTTATACGCCCGCTTTCTAAACCCGGTTAATAGGCCTAACTAATTTATCCTAATATACGTGTATCTATACACTTAACGTATAGTCAACTAGTAGAACCACTATAGATGTAAATAGTTATCTTACTGTCGTAGAAGAAAGTCCTCTTAGTCGTTTTAGTTCTATAGCTACTTTAAGCCCTTTTGTCGATGCTTATGCGATGTGCTGCTTATACTTAAGGCGTGAGTCTATAATGACGCCTAGAATCTTAATGTGATTTTTTAGCATTACTACCTGCCCCCGGATTATAACTAGGGCTACGTCGGCTTTTCGTGCGTTATAGGTAAAGTAGATAATAGCCGTTTTGTCTATTTTAAACGTCGCGCCGCTTCTCTTTTCCTAGTCTAGCGCCTCTTCTATAATAGCCTTGATCTTATCTCGGTTGCTATATGCCGTCGGGCTAGTGACCTAGGCTGTGAAGTCGTCTACGAAAGCTATGGCTCCGCTATTGGTATTAATGCGTCTCTATACTAGATCGGCATTAAAGAAAATGTAGTAAATCAGTGAAAGCGGCGACCCTTAAGGCAGCCCTACTTAATATAGCGTTTAGGTTTTAGACAAGTGTCTATTAACTAAAATCAAGGCTATACGGTTAGAATAGAATGACCTAATCCATCGCACTAGCTTTTTAGGTATTCCTCTGGCTCTTATCCTTTGTAATAATCGTTCCTTATACACGCCGTTATACGCTCCTTTTACGTTAAAGCTTATTAGGCTAATAACCCGTCTTCCCCTCTATATATTATATATCTGCTCTTATAAAAGTAATAATGCCTACTCCGCCGAACGTTACTTATAGGCTCTAAAATGGTTAGTGGGTAATACTCCACTAACGTTTTGCGTACGGAGACGGTTTCGCCCTTAGTGTTAGCGTATAAACCGCTTCTAGTATAACGGTCATTAGTCTGTCTATGTTTTATTGTACTGTTCCTTCTGTTAGCAGCTTCCTTAGTTCCTCCTTAATCCTTCTATTAATTTTCTTCTAAGGTGCGTTCTTAAATAAGAGCCGCCTAGGTTACTCTATGGCAGGAACCGTCGCGTTAAACACCGTGTTAATCGTGCGGTGGTTAGAGCTATGATCTGTCTTATAGAGCCCACACTAGACTACCCCATTAGCTAATTCATTAGACGTAAGTACTAGGTCGATTGTGGATTTATGTTCCCTGCCTTACTATGTTTTTATGCCCCGCGGCAGCAAACTGTGTAAGGAGAGTTCGTTTATTAAATCAATAATTGCGTCCCCTTTACCCTACCTTACTAGGGATATGTCGTCTCCTCCCTATAATTGATTATATTAATTGAAGTCGCCTATGATCACCATATCCACTAGGCCTCCTTCCTTCCGCCTTACCTCCCGTATTATGCAGCGAAGCCTGTCGCACGTGTCGGCCAGTGCTTGCGCATTAAGCCCCTCCACGTATATAGAGGCTACCAGAAGAACCTACTCTGAGATGCCGACGTGGGTGATGTCCATTGGGTGGTAGGAGTTTTGGGTGCCAGGTCATTTATGTGCTAGGAACAAGTAGGGCTAGGATAAATACAGTGCTGTTTGATTCGTGCTAGGAGCGTATGGTGCTAGTCAGTGTGTGCTAGGGCGTGCATGCCATCACTAACGACGGATGGGATCTGGGGTGGTCTGGCACCTTTGGGCTGGGCTACAGTGGGTGCTGGGTCTAGCGTACCAGCACACGGAATAGCATAGCCCAAAGGTGCTGGCCTGTATGGGTGCCAGCACAAAATTTTGGTTAGCGTGGCCATGGCCACTGGCTGCGCTGTCCTATTGAGGATAGCGCCTGTCGTGGACATCCACCCGTGGGCAGCCTCCGCCTTTGATAGTCGTGGCAGGATTGACGTCCTCCTCCGTGGACAGCCGCCCACGGCTAGCCCCAACCATGGATGCCCGCCGCGTGCTGGCCACAATGGATGGACAAGGAACGATGGCGCTGGCGTGGGGTAGTTGTGAACGGACAGGCGCGACTCTTAGTAGGACAGCGCAGCCAGTGGATGACCTGCAGGTGGGGGCATCCTTACCACTGCTCACCAGCAACTATCACGACGTTGACATCCTAGTTTGTTCGGCTGCGCTATGAGTTACCAATAGCGCCCTGAGGCGAGATTGCTGAGGCAAGTCCTTCCCGTCCGAGCCCCGTGACAAACTGTATATGCAACTTCGTCTAGGGGTAACCCATCTCTTGAAACACTATTCTGTTCTACTAACCACAGCCTGACCGTGAATAAAGTCTGAATTAATGCTAATGTACAAGATAGGCCGTGCGTAGGACACATATTAATATCGTTGACCTGATCGAATGGGGACGAAGTAGTCGTGAAGATCAGGTTCAGTGCTTCGGCACTGTGGAAGAGCTGCGAGCCTACACTAAAAAGACAGGAAAAGTATTACGTAATACTTTCAATCAAGCCGATGGCAATGTTGTTTTACGGCATCTACTTCGGGAAATATTTCGTGGGGGCTTGTAAACCGAATAAAAACAATTTCTGTATTGCGATTTGACCCAAAATGCCACTGTTGTTTGTACATTGATGTTGGCGCCGTGGCCAAGTAGCAGGTCAGGAATATCTAGGCTTAAGATGGATGACAGATAACCCTGAATAGATGCAGAACCAATGATAAGTGGTCATGGTTGTGTCCGCAAAACCGAGCAGGTAAACATATAACCTCCCGACTCGCCACTGTCCAGTAACAGGTGCGGGTTTCAAACACAGGCCGAACTGGTAACTTATGAATCAATCTTTGGTGTGCTTGCCTGACGGCGTAGCCAGAACGACGCGAAAAGATGGTCAGAGGCCGTGTTTCTGCACATTTGAAGCCCTACAAAGACTGGAATATGAATATGCATACCGGAAGGGTAGACTTAGAGACCTCGCTTCGCGTCAAAGCAACCGGCGGCCCTCTGGAAGGTTTGCCGAGGCGTCCACTGATGCGGTGAATCAGCTGCATCTTGTGGGACTAATCCTTTCGCAGCTGGCGAAACAAGAAAACACGCTGCTTTCCCAGTCTGAGGCTGAGCCTGATATGAGGTGCATAAAAGAGAAGATGAAACTGGAAACAGCAGAAATTCTACGGACAATTCTATGAAGTAGAATGCATGTGGTTGATCCAGTCGGGCGAGCCAAGCTAGCTCCAAATATCTTTGCTATTATTAACAATGTAAAAGCGTTTATTATATTAATACATATAGTATCAATAATCACTGTAGTATTAATAAATAGAACTGCTCCGCCAAGAGACCTGGGAAAGAGCGGGTTTGGACTCGTGGCTACGTGCCACTAAAGTACGTGTCCGACAAAGCTCGCAGCGCCAGCGTCTGTCCTGCGTATGCACGTCTTAAGTTGTTTGCCCTCTTACTTGCCCCAGCCTCTATACTCGCACCGGTAAAGTGTGCGACACATCTAATCTTCAATAGCACACCGTGGGCCCGGTTGTGGTGTATCGCGTTCTCGGGTCGAGTGCAGAACTGTATGTACATGCCTAACAGCCAGGACGTGATGGCTGCCGATTGGAAGGCAGTATGATTGAGCTGTGACTAGCTGGAATCTTCTCAGAGTTATATTGGCAATGATGCATGTGTCGTGGTTTTGCGTCTGGTCTATTGCCATGATGAGTCCCCGTCATTGTCATTGGCCATCGGGTTGTCGTCGCCGTCTTTGTCGTCGTCGCCGTCGTTGAGCGAGGTCATCAATACAATCTACCAACCAAGCCCAGCAAGTGCAAAATTGTGATCTGATTTTTTGCTTCAATACGTGCTGCGCGAGACGGATTGAGGAATCTCGGCTGCTGCAGCGACGTGAAGCTTTTTTCTCCGAAGATAGCATTATTTCCCCAAATACCGCTCAAAAACCAAGCTTCTCCGGTAGTAGAATTAGTGAGCTGATCAGTTTGAATAAGATCTGGTGGATTTGGGGTATTTGTTGGATGATGCTGCAACGGGTTGACCTGGGACGCTGTAAGAGGGTCAGGCTCAGATCGACCTTAATAGACCCCGGATGATAACATATTAATGAGACGCACAAGTGCACCTGTTGTGAAGGACAACTTGGAACGACCTGTTTTGTTGCCCCTAGTTCCCTAGATCAGTGTCAGCTTGCGCTGAGAGTGTAAAAATTATTGACCTCATACAAGGTACTTCGACATGTTCAAACAGTACTTATATAAAGAACAACTCCATGACAATGTACACAGTGCCACGTGGTCTTCGTGTACGTTGTGGGTAATTCTGCCACAGGAAATATGGACCTTGTTCGCCAGCAAAATGCAGAGTATGCGAAGTATGCCTTATTATGATTCTGCATTTGTTTTCCCAAATGCTGTGTGAATAAAAAAGAGGGAAAATAGAAGGTTTCTGGAGCCCTTTCCATCCGCTGAAAGGATCTGGCAAGGTTTGCCGAGAGCGAGGCACCAGATGCGATTCCTCAAAAGTGTTGCTCGCCGCAGAATCAAGCTTTTTGCTCAGCCAGCCGATCCAGAAGTACCCACATTGGGACCTAACTTAGTTTGGAGCAAGTTTTGCTGAAACCGAGCAAGATAGTGCCACACATCCTGGTCATGTTTCGGTGTTTGACCTCTTTATAAGATGGACGCCCTCCCCCCAAGTGCTTCTTCTCTCACCTTTCTCTTTCTACCTTTAAGTCCCGTTCAAATTGACCACTTCTTATCATACCGCTTGGAGCAGATTTGGTCAGGTTCTGGACACATCTGCGCCACCTGAACAACACGGGTTACACAACAACCCCCACCACCAAAAAAAAACAAACCAAACAGTAAACCGACGGTTTCTCTGAGAGAAGCAAGCGAATTCAGTCACTCATTTCCTCTACACCCTGCTTCTGCAGCGTAATTTTTGTCCATGGGTCAAGGAAAGCGGCGGCAGGAGGAGCAGCAGGAGCGTCTGCAGGGTCACGTCTCTGGACAGGCGAACAAGCCCTTGACGGCGCCCGCGCATGCTTTGAGCTACGGTGATGTCGAAAAAGAGCTTCAAGTCAACCACGAGGTTGGCTTGACTCCAGAGGAGGCCAAGAACCTCCTGGAAGTCTATGGGCGCAACGAGTTTGGCGAGCAAGAGGGCGTCCAGCCGCTCAAGATCTTGATTGGGCAAATTGCCAACGCGCTGACTTTAGTAAGCTGATTCCCTGTAGTTTGCTGTCGAAAGCTTTGATCCCATCTATCCTCTTATCTTTGTCGCATTCTTCTCCGCATTAGTTCCGGTGGTCAGGCGGAGTGCCGATATGCACGCAGCCCAACCCGACGGCAGACTTTGCCGTTTGCCGACATTGCGTGTTGAAACCCGACGGCCGGGTGCTGCTCAATGGGAGAAGAAAACCAGTCATACGACCTTAAAACTCTTCAGTTTTTACTCATTGATGGTCTGGTGACGCGCCGAAATGCACAGAGCGGAGCAGCCCAACCGGGCGCCGATTTGGCCGTTTGCTCACCATGCGTGTTGAAAGCCGAGAACTGTATGCTGCGGGAGGGCAAGGGAGAACCAACCAGACGCCTGTTCGCAGCCTCGAGTTGATGAAGAGCAATTTCAGCAAGAGGAACAAGATGCAAAAACTATGAAGGCTTGAGAGAGTTTACTCAACTCGAACAGCCCTGGCTAACCAACCATTCTTCCAGGTCCTCATCCTCGCCATGATCGCCTCGTTTGCTATCCAGTCCTGGATTGAAGGCGGCGTTATCACCGCCGTTATCGTCCTCAATATCGTTGTCGGATTTCTGCAGGAGTTCAAGGCCGCCAAGACGATGGACTCGCTGCGCTCCCTTAGCTCGCCGACCGCACAGGCCGTTCGCGCTGGCGCCAATCGGACCGTCGCCACCGCCGAGATCGTGCCCGGCGACGTTGTTGAGCTTAAGACGGGTGACACGGTTCCCGCCGACGTGCGCCTCGTCGAGGTCGTCAACTTTGAGACCAACGAGGCCCTGCTCACCGGCGAGTCGCTACCTGTCCGCAAGGAGACGGCCACCAGGTTTGCGGCCGATACAGGTCCGGGAGACCGGCTCAATGTCGCGTACTCGTCGTCGACTGTCACCAAGGGTCGCGCGGTCGGCATCGTGTTCGCGACGGGCATGTTCACCGAGATTGGCCAGATCGCGGTCGCGCTCCGTGGCAAGAGCTCGCGCCGTCGCCAGCCCAAGAAGAGGCGCGAGGACGGCTCCGCCAGCTTCCACCGTTGGGTCGAGGCCTGGGGTCTCACCTTCTCGGACGCCGTTGGCCGCTTCTTGGGCGTCAACGTCGGCACGCCCCTCCAGCGCAAGCTCTCCAAGCTCGCCCTACTGCTTCTCGGCACTGCCATCGTCTGCGCCATTATTGTCCTCGGCGCCAACAGCTTCAGCAACAGCCAGGAGGTCATCATTTACGCTGTCGCCACCGGCTTGTCCATGATCCCGGCCTCGCTCATCGTCGTCCTCACCATCACCATGGCCGCCGGCACCAAGCGCATGGTTCAGCGCCACGTCATTGTCCGCAACCTCAAGTCCCTCGAGGCCCTCGGCGCGGTTTCTAGTAAGCGTATCATATCCCCCACTCAAGAATGACGGCTTAACTTGCCACCAGATATTTGCTCGGACAAGACCGGAACCCTCACTCAGGGTAATATGATTGTCAAGAAGGCCTGGATCCCAGGCCGGGGCACCCTCTCGGTTGGCACCACCAGCGAGCCCTTCAACCCCACGGTTGGCACTATTGGCCTGACGCCCAAACAGCCTAAAGACATCAAGTTCAGTGCTGAGAACTCTGAAGGTGATGCCGTCGACACTACCCAACTGCCCACCGAAGATGTGACTGTCTGTGAGTATCTCAATGTTGCCTCCCTCGCCAACCTAGCTACCGTCCAGCAGGTAGAGGGAGAGTGGCAAGTCCGTGGCGATCCCACTGAAATCGCTATCCAAGTCTTTGCCTCACGCCTCAACCGGAACCATCTGCGTCTCTGCCATGGCAAAGACGCCAAATGGGCTGAGGTCGCCGAATTTCCCTTCGACTCTGATGTCAAGAAGATGTCTGTCATCATGGAGCACAAGCCCACCGGCAAGCAGCACCTCTTCACAAAAGGCGCCGTCGAGCGCGTTCTCCCCTCTTGCCCGCGGTACGTCGACGGCGACGAGGTCAAGGAGCTTACCAAAGACGCGAAGGAAGACACGCTCCGCAATATGGAAGCCCTCGCTCGTCTCGGTCTCCGTGTTCTGGCGCTTGCCAGTCGAACTGACATTCCTCACATCAGTCACAACGAGGCCGAGCTTGAGCGTGGCACCTTTGAGAAGGATCTTGTCTTCCGCGGTCTCATCGGTCTCTATGATCCTCCCCGTCCCGAGTCTGGCCCGTCTGTCCGCAAATGCCATGAAGCTGGCATCAGTGTCCACATGCTGACTGGTGACCATCCAGAGACTGCTCGGGCCATTGCGCTGGAGGTCGGCATCCTGCCGTCGCGCATGTCGCAAGTCGCTGCTGACGTTGCTCGTACTATGGTCATGGCTGCTTCTGACTTTGACAAACTAACCGATCAGGAAATTGACACCCTCCCCATCTTGCCTCTTGTTGTTGCTCGCTGCGCGCCCCAGACCAAGGTCCGGATGATTGAAGCCCTCCACCGACGTAGGGCCTTTGTTGCGATGACTGGTGATGGTGTTAACGACTCGCCTTCCCTGAAGCGTGCCGATGTGGGCATTGCCATGGGACAGGCCGGATCTGACGTCGCTAAGGAAGCATCGGACATCGTCCTTACCGACGACAACTTCGCTTCTATTCTCAACGCCGTCGAGGAAGGCCGCCGCATGTTTGACAACATCCAAAAGTTCATTCTGCACGTCTTGGCCGAGAACATTGCCCAGGCTTGCACCCTTCTCATCGGCCTTGCGTTCAAGGATTCTCGTGGCATCTCGGTCTTCCCACTTGCCCCTGTTCAGATTCTCTGGGTCATTATGATCACCTCGGGCATGCCCGACATGGGTCTCGGCTTTGAGATTGCCGCGCCCGACATCATGCAACGCCCGCCCCAGAACCTCAAGCAGGGTGTCTTCACGCCGGAGCTGCTCATCGACATGGTCGTCTACGGCCTTTGGATGGCAGCGCTCTGCATCTGCTCGTTCATCATCGTACTCTACGGATTCGGCCGCGGCGCCGCCGACCTCGGCGACGACTGCAACAACAACTACAACGAGAGCTGCAAGGTCGTCTTCCGCGCGCGCGCCACCACCTTTGCCTGCCTGACCTGGTTCGCGCTTTTCCTCGCCTGGGAGATAGTCAACCTGCGACGCAGCTTCTTCCGCATGCAGCCCAAGAGCAAGCGCTACTTTACGCAGTGGATCTTGGACATTTGGCGCAACAAGTTCCTGTTCTGGTCCATCATCGCCGGCTTCGTCACGATGTTCCCGATCATCTACATCCCCGTCATCAACACCGTCATCTTCAAGCACGCCCCCATCTCGTGGGAGTGGGCGATTGTTTTCATCGAGGCCTTCCTCTTCTTCCTCGGTATCGAGACGTGGAAGTGGGCGAAGCGCGTCTACTTCCGCTGCCAGGCGCGCAAGAAGACGGCTGACCGTAAATGCGGCGATATTGAGGAGCGTGCCTTTGGCCATTACTTCCGCTCTAATACGCACAGCTCGGCGGGCAGCAACGACGAGGGCGCATTCGAGAAGAAGCACAGCAAGAATGTCGGAGCTCAATAACACAAGTCCTTCGGTCCTTTCGTCTCGCGACTGAGATGAGATAGTGGAGGTTATGAATTCCTTTGGTGTACGACCAAAAGAAGCCCAAGTATTGTGTTTTGATCTTGCATTGCATTCCCACCCCAAGTTTGTCATGTATTTGTTTTTCTGTTGTTTTAGATTCGCATAGTCTGTGCGCTTTTATTCAAGCAGAGCCCCCAAAAATTGCTTTACTCAATGTGTTCACACACAGCTTGGAGAGGACTGGTCTTTGGGCATGAGAAAAAAAAAGTGCGCTGTTAGAGCGAAAGGTTTTTTTCTATCAACGTTTTTGTAGAGCTCTGCGGTGACGAGCCGCAAATATACTAGAGCAGATATGAGATGTCTCTTTAACAGTAAGCCGCGTAGAATGTATGGCTAATTATTCTAATTATTAAATGAATTTTGGAGCGTTTTGAGATTTTGTGATGAACGAATCTTATTAGTCTGGTATTATAGGTTGCGACAATTGTCACAAGGCGGAATTCAATTGACTCACAGCCACAATAAGCCTTAAAATGGCTCGTGCTGGCCAGTTAGAGCAAGGACTGTGTTTTCAGACATGACGAAGTTGCAGTAGTCCAATGTCTAATATTGGATCTTGATTTCATGCACATCTAAATAAGACAACGAAAGTACGTACCAAAGCGCAATGAACAAAGCCAGGCAACTATCGAGAGCCATGTACAGAGAAGCAAAAAGAGGACGCTACCATCAACCCAGTAAGAGGGCACATCGCAGGGGGCGGGAACTCAAGATCCGAGCGGCTCCACGTTAAATGGAATTGGCTTGCCCGTGTGCGGACAAATGTTGGCGCGGACCTTGATGTTGGCGCCGCTCTGCATCAACAGCGACACACCCGCCTCGAAGCGCCTCTCGACCGCGAGATGCAATGGCGTCCAGCCGACATGATCGTGGGCATCAATGTCAAAGGTGTTCCTCTCACGCTTGTTCCAGTGCTCGAGCAGCGTCCGGAGGACCTCGAGCCGACGATACAGAACAGCCCAATGCAGCGGTGACCGCCCTTCCTTGTCAAGCACGCCAATGCGGGCGCCATGAGCCAGCAGCATCCGCACGACGGGCTCATTGTCCTGGATGGCCCCGTGGAAGAGTGGCGTCCGGCCATTGCTGTCCAGACAGCTGATGCCCTCCGTGTCGTGCCGTAGCAGCATACCAAGGATGCGCTCGTTTCCGCTCTGCACCGCGATATGAATGGTACTTATCCATCCTTTGCCACATTGTGCACTATCATCCTCGTTTTCATTGGCAGCGCCCTCCAACTCGACGCTAAGGCTTGCATCAACAGCGGCAGTCGGCATATCAATGACAGCACTGCGCCGCGAGCTCGGTCGAGCCACGCTGCTCACAGACAACACCGGCCCTCCTTCGCTGGCCGGAGCCCCGCGCGACCGACCCGGCGATGACGACGACGAGGCATACGAAGCTGATACTGCAGCCTGGAGTGTGGGCAGGCCGGGGTACAATGCGTGCAACGGTGCAGAAAGGTCCTGATCGCACGACCAAGATCTGCCGGGCAGTTCAGTGGGTAGACTTGGCATATCTATGCAGGCATCGAAGTGGCTGTCAAAGCATATGTCCAGGCCAAGGCCATCGATCGAGACTGTGGCTGGCGTCATAGGTAACCCCCCAGGCCGCGTGGTCCCCAAGTCGATGCATCCGAATAAACTTGGTGACTGGGGTGCGCTAGAAATGGGCGGCGTAGAGGTGACCTGCGCCAGTGTGTTGGATGATGATGGCCACCGTGCATGATGGCTGGAGGGGCGGCTGTTGTTGGCAGACATTGCTGCTTGGTTCTGAACGTGCTTATCTGAAATACCGACCCAGAGACCGTCTTGGTCAGCGACGAGAATTATGGTGATACCGATAGTCACAGGAATGACCTACGACGAAACTTGCGTTGGGCGATGCGATTTTGAATCCGACGCCGTTCGACAGGATCGGTCGGGAGCTGCACAGTGACATCCATCATGCTTTGAGTACACAGACAGGTGACAATTTAACCAGTTGGCAAGAATTGTATTCTCTCAAGAGCGGGTCCCTGACGTGTTATGGTCTTGCAAAGGTTGGTACTTTCTCTTTCATTCCTTTAAATGGCAAGATATCGAGGTACTAACGTGCAGCAGACCCGCGTTTGTTGTAGGTACCTTGGCGGCAACGGGTAAACTCTGCCCCACGGCGGGATGGGCTGGGCAACTGGCAACTGCATCCACGCAAGGAACTCATCATGGACAGGACAGCAAGGCACCCACCCGTAAGCAATCGAAGATCTGGTGGCGTGCTCGCAGTGCCGAAGCAAACCAGGTCCTTAGGGTACGTTGGGGTCGAAAAATGTCTCCTTGACAGCTGGTCCGCGTTATCAAAACAGATTCTGCCCAAGCCCCCTCAAGCCACCGCGACAACCGCATACGTTTCCCCTCTTCCCTCCTGGTCCTTGTTATTCTCTAACGTGAGTTCAGATGCTCTGTCCTTTCTTCTCTTTCCCCGTGTCCGGCCATCCTTGGCGAATCTTCAGCCGCACCGGTTGTCCAACGCTCAGCTGGAGGAGTCTCTTAGCAACATTGGATCCACTGGCGGGTCCTGCTCGACAGCTGTGTTCGCCAACGGCGATGCGTTGTCGTCGTCGATGGCGGCGGGTAGGTTTTGGCTTCGGCCGAGGACTCGAAGTAGAACTGGGACGGGTGGTGTTTGGGAGCCTGCTAGTCTCTTCCCGCAATGAGTTTCCACGGGACTTATCGGCGGAGTGAAGAACGTTGGCCGGATCTCGGTAGCTTAGTGTATACGGGTATTGCTTCACGAATCGCATCTTGGTTTGGCCTTGTGTTTATAAATTGCGTCGCTTGGCGTTCAGTTAGTCCAATTTCCTTTCGCCGGAGTCGGTATGCTGTGCTTGTCATTGAGATGATGCCACAGGTCGTTCCGTGGGTTGAATGCTAAAGGGCGCCTGAGATCCAGTCATGCAAATATTGTGTTGCTGGCCCGCGCGACAATACATTACTGAATGAACGAAGAGACGCGCCTCTTCTACACTGCTTAGCCGTTTGTGTGGGGCTACGGCTGTAAATTTAGTGGACGTTAGGGTTGGCGCTGGCAGATTACTGCTGCCTTGTGAAGCCGCCGTACTTGTACACTAACAGATTATGCCTCCCTCAGGCTATGCCGACCACTGTGTTATGCTCTGCTTTGCCCTTGGCGTAGGTCCCTTCGTGCTACTCCAATGCGATTGTAGGCGTTCTTATGAGTTGCGGTGACTGGCTAGGGGGAATCAAGCGGCGGGGGTGGCCCAGGCAACACAGGTATTACATGGCCATAGCCTGTCATCTGTAGGGCAAAATTCGGGCGGGGGGAGGCCACGAAGGGGCACCCTCAGGGACGGAGACAGGTGAGCTCAGCTGAGGCTGGATGCGGTCATGGATTGGCACTGTAGCCTTGGCAGGTGAGAGCCAAGAAAGCCCATCAGCTCCCGGATGGGCGCAATGTTAATAAATCCCGGCTCAACAAACCAGTTCTAGATCTTGCCAAGAGCACTCCTAGGAGAACGGGCACAGGACTCGTGGCCGCTGCCAGTGTTGCATCAGAATTCATCAGTTCACAACGCCATGAGGCCATGTACAAGCATACTGAATACAAACAGCGGGACTGTGTCAAATAGTGCTGCGCTGTGTGGCCCGTGGCGCTCGGCGGCTAGCCTTGGCAAACAATCGGCGGCCCGAGCCCTGCCATTGAGGTTGTGTACCAGATGCGTCCAGATAGCTTTCCAAACCTTACTGGTCCTCAATACATTGAAAAGACCTGACCGGCCCTGTGTCCTCGCCCGCTCCCCTGACACCTGGTTCGTTACATTCAATTTTGCTGCCTTCATTCCAACAATGCAGACCTTCCGTCTTCTCTCTGCCTTGGCCCCGGCAACCCAATGGAGCATGATTTTGGCAAGCCCGCACTTGCGCGATAGCACAGGGCTACTTCTGGAAAGGGGCATGTCCTCTGGAAGAAAAGTCTGTGGATCAGAAAGTAAGAATCCAATTGATTCCATTCGCACTGCGCAGGAGGGTTGCCCCATCCCCCCAATTCTTGCATTTTTGATGGTAGTAGGTTAAAACTTTAGTCCTTGCTAACTGGTTTCTCGATAGCTGGTGCCTCCGGTCTCAAGACTAAATACTACTGTCAAGGAGATAAGCCTGTTTGCTGTCCAGACTCGACAAAGTCCCTCGAAAACGGAATTCCATGGGCTTGTATCCCACAAGAGGGAATCTGCTGTGGTCAGGGGGATTATTGCGTAAATAGTCTGTTCTGCGGGACGGGGAGAAGTGGTGTCAAGCGGTGCAAAGGCCCCAACATGGATTTACCGACAATAGAGGGGCGTACGCCAGAGCTTGAATTCGATCGGAGCGGTGTAGGTGATTATGGCAGGGACGATGAAAATGGCGGGATCGCAGTCAGACTCGGACGTGGGTTGTATGTCTGGGCCTTGTGCATTGCTGGTCTATCGGTAGCCATGCTAATATAGTGCGTATCTATCCATTTCAAATACGATATAGCGATATCAAAGAGAACATGGGCCACAAGTAGTCGATGATGCCCGCTCTCTTCAGATCGAGTCTCACCGCAGCACTTGACCAAATCACTACCAAGCTGTGTTGCCTCAGAGTCTGCGGCCGGCTACACAAACCTCCCCAATACCATTGTAGCTGTAGTAAGAATCTGTGCTTTGATTTGATTACACATGTCCTTTGATGCCGTAGCTTAGGCCCTACGTAAAAGTCGTGCCTGACGAGCTGTCAAAAGGATAAACGAACGTGCAGTCGTACTCGTTGAGTAACGGCGTTGTATCCATGTTCTCAGTAATTGCCACTGGGCTACTAATACTCTTCATGTCATCATACTGCGACTATGAAAGTGCCGTGCCGAGTAGCCTCTCTGTCAGATTCGATGACGCTGGCGGTATGCGGCCGTGGCTGCAACCACGTAGGCGCGTTGAGCAAACAGCTTCTATCTCCTGTATATACTTTTGCTGTCTTCCGTTTCCGTATGTGTACAGCCTCTCATTTCTGCTCTTGCTCCCGTTTTTTCCATAGCACAGGTTCTCGTGCGGTGCTTGTATTAATTGGCTAGCTTGAAGGCTATTCCTCAAGTGTTCAGCGTCCTATCTACAGCGGCTGAAGCGGCGCTTGTTATCAGCGACACGAATGTTGTATGTGATTATGAGGTACGAGCGAGTGTTGGTGTTTTAGTCGTTGTTCAATCGGCCAGTGGCCAACGCAAATTGGATCGTGGCCCTCACCGCTCTCATGTTGGGTTTCCACTTTGGTCCATGGACGAAGATTTTCCCTCGACATAGAATGAAATGTTGCCTTTCTGTGTATCTGTGCATTCTGTCATCTCCTTTCGATGTGCCTCCCATCTCGAGCAGCGGAAGAGTAAATGCTTAATTGGTTCGCGTTCGAGTTCGCACGTACATTGGCTTGACGACACCACTCTGATCTGGTGCAGGTATCCATGTAGCCTGATTATGTAGGTCCTAAGCTGAGCCAACACTGCCCGTCCATTCCATGGTCACTTCTCATAGAGTGCTCTCGTTTGTTCGCCTGGCAAGGCTGTGTCAATGCTTTCAAGTATTTTCCCACGTTCTCTGGGATCTGTCTTTCTGCGTTGAGCGTTTTTTCTTCTCAATGTTGAAGGTGGTGGAGAGTCAGCGTGGCTAACAGTCCGAGCGACCCAGACTGGGCCTTGCGGTCTGTCGGTCTGGGTTTGTCGCTGCCTCCGGTCTGTCGGTCTTGGACGGTCTGGCTTCAGCAACCCGGTCGGTCTAGGTCTGACAGACCGATGCCGAGATTGAGCCGTCATTATATAGTCGCCTGAAGGTCATGTTTTTGGTTAAATTTTCTGAAGGAGGTAGCACTACTCAAACTGCACAATAATGCCTGATAATAATCCACACTAGCCAGCTAGACGCTACAACTAGGAAAGATATGGTGCTGGTGTAAAAGCATTCAGGTTAGAAGCTTGAGGACTGTAGCCCACATCCACGCGTGGAGACAGGAAGATAGGTGGGGACTCACCCAAGGTCAGTGGAGAGCATCCTCAGGAACCGTTGCCTCAGGTCGCGCCCCTTCTCGAGTAGCCTCCTTCGCTTTTCTCTCATCCTCGCTCTTTGGTGGCTTCCAGATAATGGAATTGGAGATTGCGTTTTCTTGTTGACCCCGTCACCACGGAGACTTCGCCGACTACCACGAGCGCTTCAGGCATGAAGACGCCGATCTCAACTCACAACCCACCTCTTCTACTGCAGGAAGATCCCCCGCATCTTTAGGCCTCGGATAACCCCCGAGCCTGAAGCCGCGACGCGGAGATACCTGGGTAGATCTTTCCAGACCTACGTAAAGCTTGCTGACTTCTATCATGCGAATATTAATAAGCGATACTAATAAATGGAAGGCGCTCTTAGTTGACGACTAAGAGACGAACTAACTCCCTAAGCAGCGCGAGCTGCTTGTAGAAACCTCGTTATTATTTCTTTTGTCATGTCGAAACACGTGTTAACACCCCCGGGGCACAAAAACCTAGCTGTAAAACAGCAAAGGTGGCTCTCCGCTGAGGGAAGCCACCTACAGTAAAACTGCTAATTGAGAAGAAGCAGTTCTACCTTGATTGGCGCGCAGCTGCTGCTAGAGGAGGATGTTTAGGTCAAGAAGCTGGTACGATTTAGCCCCTGGTGAGAACGTGGGCGCGTCCGGGCCCGTCACGCCAACCAAAACGGCGGCGGCACGTTCATCCGCAGAGCATAGCTAGCACGCCTCTTTGCTTACACCAAAGCTAGGACATAGACGTCAAATAAAGACAGAAAACAAAAACAAAGCAAGACAGTCCATCAATCAAGTTCATTGATTGACGTGTTGTGTAATCGAATGCGATAGCTTGAGTTGTGTTGACGCTAGTGGTCAATTAAGTCAACCCAGTTGAATTACGTTAAGTGGCGTGCAACCTTGGGCAAGTTCTTCCTTGCAAGGATCTGCTAGACACCACACTTGACGCTCCTTTCCCGGGTTATTCCTTTGCTCCTCATTCCTGACTGCTCCAGCGGCCCGCACTACAGATCTGCATGGTCCGAAACTCAACAGCTGCACATGCCCCTGACGGGTAATAGAGACGAATGAGTGCGCCTTCGAGCTGATGCCCGGCTAGATAGTGTTTTGCTCATGTTACACGTAGCAAAAGTAGTCACTGGCCAAGCACCTCCTGTGCCCCGCTAAGGGACTTTGAACAGCCGATAGCCGCTGGACGTTAAATACACACACAAAAACGTACTGACCGCCCTGAGTGGCAGGGGTTGATGCAAAAATATATGTTGCGTGTGACCATTGTCAGTATGAATTGCTGGAGCACTTGCTACATCCACTTTTACATGGGAGTTGATCGTCCAGCGAGAGAAGGTAGGACCTCCAGCTTAGTATCAGTGACAAGGCGAAATGCATGCACGCTGCTCAGCTGCATGAGCCACCTACGCATGCCAAGGCGCCAAGATTTCTCGTTCCAGCATCGCGATGAAGGTTTCGTACCCAGTGCGCTGAATAATTCCTTGGCAACACGCCAAACTATTGGAATGAAGGATTATCTGCCTGCCAAAGGTCCTCCAACAGAAGAACGGAAATATATCAAATGTTCCGGTACGCTGAGCCGGCTCCTTAGTTGGCCTTTCTCACCTCTAATTCTACAGAATATTTCGCCACGACATTCCTGAATCGCAACTAGTTCAGACCTATACCAGGCTATGGCCGCAATAGACTGTGCTGCAGCGGAACGAATAGAAACGTGGTACGGTCATGTGCAAACGATTTCAGATGCTATGCTGCTATTCGAGGCCTGTCGTCTGGGCATCCTTCCTCGGGTGCAACGAAGACTGTCAGTGAAAGAAAGACAGTCTATCCGTTCTGGCTCCGTATTTGTATGGGATGAGAGAGAGGCCAATATGAAAAGATGGACTGATGGCAAAATATGGAGTGCGAGTAAGGTCTCCAGTGGTTTTCTCAACTACAACGAAATGGAGCATAAACGAGACAATGGAAGCAACAACGCACCGAACTCAACCGAGCACAACGATCCTATCAACGATAGCGACCCTGACGGATACCGATACAAGATCGGTGGCCTGGTAAAGAAGTCAATCAGTATCATCACTGCCGTCGGACAGCATTTTCACCTTGTCGCCTACTATTCGGAGTCCTCAGGTGGACCACGAGAGCTTCCGCTGGTTTCTACTGATCAACGTCTGAGAAAAATACTTCCTTGCGAAAGGATGGACTTATCGTTCGACTCTGGTGCACAGAAACAAGCAGCTGCACCATATGTCCCCCAATTGGCGATGGAGGCACACAATGACCCTCAAGGCCAGCAGAAACCCATACTGCAATACGCGCAACCTGAAAGCGCCCGACGGTTATCTAGATAGCACCCATTCATTGCAATAGACAACGCTGTTTTCTGGCAGACACATCTTCTTCTGCACTCTATACGGCTCACTTCCATCCTTACCACAGAGTCGTTGATCACGCCGCTCCTCGCCCTTCTACGCGACATCGTGCTGTACTCCACTTAGCACTACTCCTTGACCTTCCATTACTACCGCCGTTGGATCACAATGTGGCACACATAGACACGGCAGCAACATTACGCGGCAAATGCATGGGGTCAATGATGCCTAAGCCGTAGCATCATGCGACTCCAAAACTCATCTAGATATGGAAAATGCTAGGCAGGTATGAAGATCTGTTAGCTAGGCATGGCTTTTACAAAGGTACAAACCTCGGCATTCTTTGTTTGGTTGATATTACTAAATGCTGACTGCAAGGAAAATTGGACAGCCAAGAGAATTCTCTATTATAGTGAGCCCTCTCGCTACGGTTGGGTCCAGATAGTGCCAAGAGAGAGAGTGTGACATGGTGAGGTTGCTAATGTACCAAGGGTAGGAAGCCACAGTACGGTCGACGCCCGAGCTTCGTTCTTAAGGCTGAGTGGTCCGAGTCAGCAGCACTATTGACAAAGCTTTTTGCTACACATTCCTCAAGATCAGGTTGCCAAAACAGCATCGGGGAATGAGTAATGAAATCCAGAAAGATGCAAGGTAGGTATGAGGACAGTGCTCATCAGCACAGAATGTCAGACACGGAGCTTAGTTGATACGCCGCTGCTGGAGACCTGCATTAGCAAAGAATCAGCAATCGCCGCATCGCCCTCTTATATGTGCTGGCCCCAATGCCATCCTCTCTGATTTCAGCGACTCTACCTCTGATAGTCATGCTCGTTTCTTCAAATGGCGTAGCCCTTTCTTAGTTACCACGTTTCCTCTCCTTCCTCTTGTGTTGTTCTTTTCCCTTTGGTTCAGTTCATTTCTTTTCCTGCCTGTGCCTAGCCCGCTGACACGACTGTCTAGCCCCCCCAACCGAAAAAAAAAAAAACCCCATAGTCCGTTAGCAGGCATAGTACGCCCGACGCCCCATCATTCTGTTGTCACCATGATCTACCCAAGTCACACTCAAACGCCCACCGCACCTGCGACGGACGATCCAGGCCAGCTCCATTAGACCACCATCTGGAATTAGTCACCAAAGGTTGCGGCTGGTTGGTATGCGGCCTCAGGCCAGCAATAGCGGCTCTCATGTGATATTAGTATCAATAGATATTTGCAAGCGTCATTCTACCAGTGACCAACCCGGATAGCTACATTTCAGATGCATCATGCATGACGAGCAAACAAGTACTGATATGAATTCGATTTTCCTCCATCACCCTATCAACTGTACATTTATGCAACAAGGGTATTTTTAACTTGCAGCTCAGCCTAGTACGAAAGACAGCCTCATCTGCTTCTTGCTCATGCTGTTGGAACTTTGCTGGTGCGCTGGGCAGCTTGGTATGATGGGCAAACCTGATTGCTGCGCCGAAGAATTCACGCTGCGCGTCGTATCACTGCTAGACAAAAAGCTTCCGGGCGATGCTCGTGGCGATGTTATTTCGATGCTTTGATGTTGAATGACAGCAGTTTGACAAGGTAATGCTGTGCTTTGATGATCGCTTCGTATACACCTTCGCGGCTTGACAGAGGAAGCACGCCATTCTTCTTGGTGCTACGACTCTGGGCGCTGGCTTAGGCCGCTGTGTATCCAGGTAATATAGCAACGTGAAGCGGCGACGCGTCGGGCTCCGTGTTGCTAGGAGTGCCACCACCAGCGACTCGGCATTCGCGCGAGAAGTCTCAGCCAATCGGGCACTCTCGGGCTATACGCAGATAAGACTTGAAGTCCGCGTTTATTAAATTTCCACCATCAAGGCCTGTGATGCTATGTGTTGTGTTGATAGATTGCAGATTTTACACTTCTTCCCCCCGAAGCAAGCTGATCAAGCGCTTGCAGGTGGATTCAATTATTCGATATTCCATATGAAATTAGTCGGAAAGTCTCACCAGCACATCTCATCCGCGTGCGCAAGCTGCAGGTCTCCTGAAGTGCACCCAATCCAGCCTCATATTGGCACACCACTGTTGTGTGGAACACCTCATGACTGAAAACCCATATTTTGATGCGCAAGTTATTATTGCTGTTCATGGAACATTTCCTGCTGTTGTGAGTTCCAACTGCCGTTCAGGATGCCCTCGTACCGAGGCAGATTCATCAAGGACGTAAACGTGTTTTCCATGTTCGCTGCCCGCCCATCATACAGTCCATTGCTCGGAGCAGACACAAATTGCTGTTGTAGCTGACCGATAAGGTTGTTGCTTAAGTACACAGATCTCGCTTGTGTTGTTCGAGGTATTCCGCCGTTACAATTCCAGTTGTTTAACTGCGCCGTTTCGGACGTTGTTGCCATGCAAGCCAACTGAGTAGCCAGCTCAGGTGAGGAGGGTGATTTTTGTCCGGTAGAGCCGGATTTGCTGTCATATGGGTGCCAGCCATAGGCTATATCCACGGATCCAGGCAGAGTTACTGGGCTTGGCTCAGCAAAGCCCCAGGTGAGACTCGATCCAGGAGAGACATCAAAGATCTGTTCGGTCGTGGTTGGCATGTTCGTCCCTTTTGTTAGAAGATGTGGTCAGTGTATGTTTCAAGAACCCTCGCGTCGAACAAACCTTCACCTGTAACGCTAACGTAGCCAATGTTAGATGACAGAACGGGGGGAGCAAGCGCAACGGAGTCTTGTACCGGCCCCGTCCCGTGAAGAGATCTTGCCGCCATGCCACTGGGGTTCCCAGGCGCAAGGGCTGGTGAGGAGGACTGCGAATGCGCTGTTGAGCTGCCAGTTCCTTGGCCAGTAGTATTGCCTTGTGAGTCGGCCGGCGGTTTTTGGCCGACAGGGCAAAAGCTGCAGTCTTTCTTGAGTCGTATGCAGCTTATACATCGATTCTGTAGCTCTGGAGATACGATACATCGAATTTTCCGGTGCCGGCAATGGCCTGTTGTGGGCACCCTCTGGTTAGTTGTGACTCGAGTAAAGTTCCAGCGCGCCTGAAACACCATGCGACCACCCAACAAACCATGAGCAGCGTCCATGAAATAAAATGTCAACCTTACCGCATGCAATTGATGCTCTGTGGTACCCCAGCTTGTTACGCTTCCTGATCCCCGCTGTTTGAGCCATAGTGTGCACCGTCGCTGTGGAAAAAGATCGGTTGAGAGTTGGAGCTGGCGCTCTGTGCTTTGCAGTCGTGCTAGATGGTCCAGACGCGGTTCTAAGGCGGGTGGGTCCTGGTCCTTTCATGATCCCTGCTGGACTGTAGATGATATCGATGCCTATACCAAAGGCTATCACTGGCTCTGCTTTCGCTTTTCTGATTACAGGATGCCGGCAAAATCTTGTTGCCACGCGCGGGCGATCGATTGTCCCTTGAATCCCGCCTGTATTCCGCTTCTGCAACGTGGAGTGGCGAGGCAAGGGGCAAGTAAAAGTCATGAAAATGTTGCGGGTTAGCACCAGTCGAATTTGAAAAGACCGGAGTCGCGTACCGAGCTTAGAAGAGAGGCAGAAATGCGGAAATGCGGGCGAGGCAGGATTGGACGGAGCAGGCTCGTGGCCTCTCCCAGACTGTCAGAGAGTGAAAAGAAGAAGTGGTATTAACAGTAAACGAGAATAGATAAAAGGTGACCAGGGCTTGAAACTGCGATCATGGCTTTTTCGCCGCAGCCACGTCCCTAGGAGAGAGGGAAGAGCCTAGAGGGCAGAAGGGGAGGAGGGGAGGGGAGGAGGAATGAATGGGCACAAGCCACGTTTTCGAAAGGCATTATTCTGTCGCAACTGCGCCATAAAAATGATAGCTTCTAGGCACATTCAGCGCTCTTGTACTCTTCTTCCTGAGCCAACGTGTTCTAGACAATCCGTTCTCTTGCATATCCTGGGTTCTTGGAGCGTGACTGGGTGGCTGTCAGGCCTTTCAAACATACAAAAGGCAGGATTACCTCCTTTTCAGTGATTGGTTGTGGTCTGGCACTCTCTTTCACCGCCAATTTGGATTTTCGCGGCCCGAACGATGCTGCGAAGGATCAGTTGTTAGGTCAGCGAGGTAGAAGACCCAGAGTTTGAGCGCGCAAGGGTCTACCACTAGTGATGCATGTCGCACCGTTTAGTTGGTTGTCCACATAATTCTGTGAGCAACAAAATATTCAGAACCGGGACACATCCCACATCCGTTTTGAGCTTCCAAGTTCGTGTGATAATCGCTCAGCTTCATCCGCACTGACGAAGCCCTCGGACCATTGACTCCGATTTATGGAATTCACAAGCGATCATTTTTGGCCATGATATCGCAGGCTGGTATAACCTAGCCATTGGTCGTAGCTTGAGACGGTTAGCGGCCGCATTTGGATAGTAGTGACGTAGTGACCCACTTCTCCTTTTAGCATGCATTCTGCAGAACTTTGATCGCTGGAATTATCGTAAATTGGTGCAAAGTCATCTAATGTGCGTGCTACTACAGTAACGACAACGTAACCTTGACGTGGGTTCCTAGGCAAAAAGGAACAAGATGCACATGCAGTGGCTGCCTGCAGTGCGTGCGCAGGTTCTGGCACTCCCGGTCTCGTCAGATCTGCGCGAAATTGATTGGGCCTGCCCATCGCTCATCAAGTTTGCCAGTTCTCACTACACCTGTAGAGTGGAAGCCATGATATAGATGCCACATCGCAACAAGAGCGAGAATCGGATGTGCGTCCCGTCTGGGGTTTTGAGAGCTTGAGGGGCGAAGCCTCTGCGCCACACCTCACCAAGCACTGCAGCACCGTAGCGTGCGAACTCTGTGGCCCCAGACAGTTCTAGTGATCGCGCGGATGAGTGACCAAGATTACTGATTGCCTGCTAAAATGAATAACATCGGGTACGGTTTTTATGGTCTGCGGGACGGAGATCAATGGTGGAGCCGGAGCGGCCCGGGGTGGCCTAGCGCATCGATCATCACGTCTAGCCGATGTCTATGATGCAGCCTCAGAGAGCTCTTGACCAGTGATGATTACATTGAAAAAGCTGTCTTATTATCCGGGAGGCTGAGGAAGAGCGAACTGGCATGTTCAATCCCGTGATATAGTGCACAAGTTTGATGTAGATGGCAAAATGCATGAGACGCGGGGCCGGGGGCATCATCGAACACACGAACGCTTCTTTACAGAACCTGCCGCGAACTTTAGAAATCAGGCTCGCCGAAGAAATGAAAAATGCTGCTGCCGTCGCGAGCGATAACACAACGAAGGAAGTACAAGAGAGGCTGAAGAACCTGTATGAGGAGTTGCGTGACAGGATCCAGGACGTTCAGCTGGAGATGCGGGCGGGGCATTTTAACAGCGCTGCGCGTCTGGCAAACAAGTTATCAAGCTGCTGCACGAGCACAATCGTTAAATTGCGAGGGATCGACAACTTGCCCATTCGTACTCTTCCAAAGACGTATGCTGGCCTACAGGATCTTCAAGGTGAGCACCACAAAGATCATAGAAGCAGACTTGTCAACAAATAAATTCAAATCAAATTGACCCCCTTTAGATTTGATTTGAATTCAAAACGGCAAATTTGAATTCGATTTGAATTCACCTGGGCAGATTTGAATTTATTTGGATAATTTGGATAGCCCCACTTTTCTCACACGATGAGATGCATCGGGCCGCTCCTACAATATCTGCTTGCAGCCGTCTTCTTGAAGGCGTGATCATCTGCCCTGCAAGACTAAATATCCGTTCTGGCTCAGAAGACATCGCAGGAATCGAAAAGAGGTCAATCGCCATTCGCGATAGGTTCGGATATTGTCGTCGCCGGAGAAGCCAGTATTGAACCGGGTTATCGACCAGGCCGTCACCGGGTTCCGGCGTAGACAACCACTCGGCATACTCATCTCGTGTAGATGGTGCTGATGACGCACGCTGAGTGCTGGCCTTCCTGACAGATGCCATAAATTCATCCAAGTCGGTTGTTTTTCTCGCGGCGGTGGGAGCTTCCAAGATCGCATCCTTCTCGAAGGGTAGTCCTCTATATTCTTCCCAAAGTTCTCGAACAGCTTCTTTACCTCTATCCAACCATTCTGGATGATCAGCCCATTGAGATTCGATGGCGGGCCAACGAAAAGCAGGATGAAGAACAAGGGCCGCAAGGTAAACGGGGCTGTCATCAGTAAGTGCATAGTACTTATCCAGCTTCATCCAGCCGAGGTTGCAACCCACTCGCAAGTAAGGCTCTTCATCGTGTTCATGCTGCATCTTAGACTCCTCCAGGTGCCTCAGAAGCCATTCCATTGTCAGCAGGACTTCCCAGACCGCCCCATGTTTGCCCTCTTCAGGTCTGCCTTCCAGCCGCTTCGTCGCTATCTTCAGCGGCTTCAGGATGGCCAGGTATTCTGCAATCACTGCCCAGTCTTCGCTAGTCATCTTATCGTCAACAATTGCAGGCTTCTTCCGACTCCTCTTTAGCATCGGCCTTGTCCCATTCGCAGTCCTCGCGGCGACGTATTGACCCCACTCCGTAACCTCCGCCTGGACGAGAGAGTCGAGGGGATTCCGAAGCTGATAGCCTCGCTCCATCATCGCCTCGGATGAGTTCCACCGGGTAGCATTGTCTGTGATCACATCGTAGGTTGTGTGGTCATCAAGGCCTAGAGCCGCATTTTCGATGCTCTGAAGCCTGTGGAGTTTTTCAATGCGCTGGCCAGATCGCTGAACCCAATGCACAATGTTATGCAGTTTGCCAATCGGCCCTTTGGCCCTCCACAACTTCACCTCTTCTTGAAGTTCCTTATCAGCTTAGCAATCTTCCTCGAAAGCGTCGGCATCCGTCCCAAACAAAATAGATCGGGCCACAAGGTTAATGATGTGCCCGCAGCACCGAAGTCGGCGGTGCTGCTTCTTGAACCCAAGCTCACCAGCGAGCTCATCAAGACAAGTGTCGTTGCTCTCTGCGTTGTCTGTGATAAAGTATCCAACGCGGCTGTTGAGATTATATTCGTGGATGATTTCACTAACCCGGTCTGCAAGGTTTTCGCCACTATGTTGACCCTCAATTCGTGGCAAGCCAAGCAAAAATGTACGCAACTTGCCTCCGTCGTCGAGAAAGTGCACGGTCAGGCCGAGAAGGGAAGTGAACTTGCGGGACGTCCACACGTCAAATGATATATTAATGCGGCTGAGAGAGCGACCGAGCAGCTCAGTAACTACACCTTTGTGACGATTGAAGGCTCCTACAATCCAATCACGCATCGTGTTATGGGTTGGCAGACTGCCTGACTCAATAACAGCACTGTTTGTGTATTCCATAAGCTCGCGGAAGTATGGACTCTCCAGCTTGTTGAAAGAGACGTTGTCGCAGGCCACCCAGCGAATAAGCAACTGTCGAAAGTGTAGCGGGTCGAAGCAGGCTATAAGAGCATTCATCACAGCCTGGTCCTTCCTGTGACGAGCGTCCAAGTCAACCATGTCCAAGATGGTGCGCTGTTTCTTCCTATAGGGTGACATTTGCCCGCATCTGCTGATGCGATGGACATCTTCCATGTGAGCATTCGCTTGGCTCGTAGACGCAGCATCGTACATGTGCGTGATTGCGGCTCTTGTCCGATGGCACTCTTTGCAAAGCCAGAAACGGCGGCCGGAATTGTTTCTCTCGACATCGTATCCGTGCTCCCATACCCATCCCGTCCGCTGTCTTCGCCGGTGCCTGCTAGCTACATACCCAGGAAGGCGATTCCAATCAACGCCTTCGTAGCCAGAGTGTGCAGCTGAGGAAGTGGTGTCGGCTGTCGCCTCTCTGTTAACATCGAATCCGGAAAGGTCGGTTGCTGCATCGAGATCGCTGTAGGCGGTAGAATGGGGTTCTGGATCACTGGCATCCATAGAAACCATTGTCGGGAGGGACTCGACCGCCGCTAGGTAGAACACGGTGTCGACTGGCCAGTGGCTAGTGTCAAGTCGCACCTGCGTCTACGTGCGTTGAAAGGGGGTGGGTCCGAAACCGTGGAATTGCGCGTTGCGATTGGTCAACCCACATTATCCAAATGAATTCAAATATCCAAATGAATTCAAATATCCAAATAAATCTATCTGTTCGATTTGATTTGATTACAAATCAATTTGGTCGATTTGGATTTGAATAGATTTGGATAGATTTGAATTCATTTGAATTCATTTGATTTGGATTTATTTGTTGACAAGTCTGCATAGAAGATGGCAGAGAGCGAAAGGTCAGTCACGACTACGATCAAGTTCCTGATTGTCGGCGTCTATAGGAAACATCGATGACATTCTTGAACGCTTGCAACTGAACACAAACGTCCCGTACGCAAAAAAACGCCAGCAGCTCAAAGTATACTTGGGTCTGCGAAAGTAGCAATGCCGCCAGCCGATTCTTTTAATTGACAACCCTGTTCAACCCTAAGCAGCTCCTGAGAATGCATGCTGAGTGATGTTTTGGCTTAATCACGAGGACACTTTGACCCCCGAAGCATGCAGTGACCTGTATTCAGAACCCCAGAGTGCAAACGCGCTGGTTTCACTCCCCCACCCCAGCCTTGGTAGGGTTTTTTCAATCGTCCTGTCCTAGTACCGCCCCGCAGTGGAGGCGATGCCACGGCGCCCCTGCTGCTGCGCTCTGCAGCGTGGCGAAAACATGGTCATCATCTGCCCTTTTCTCAAGTGACACCGCTTATCCCTGATTCTCTCTCCGAAGCGCAAGTAGATCTCCCCTGCCGACGGTGGGATTTGACAGCCTTTTCGGATATTCTCGGCTAGATTGATGGACGACGCCAACAGCGCCTGATTGACTTGCCGGGAACAGCAGCAGCCGAGACAACGGTTTAGACGATGTCTGACGGTCAACGGTTGTTCTAGGTCAACGGTTGTTCTAGGAGTTCCGTGGTGGAACAAGGTGGGACACGCTTTCAGCTCGACATCTCGATCACTGTGTCTAACACTTGCAGTCCCACTCCTCATAGAACATTTCAGGTCTTTTTTTTGCATCTCCTTACTGAACTTTTGATGTGATACTTTCTTTCTCGCCAAAATGAAGTCGCGGCTTTTCCCACCTCTTGTTAACCAACACCCATCATTCCTACCGCAGCCGAATCTACAATGTCCTACCAACGCAAGCCGTGGTCCAATTCTGAGGATGCGTGCCTCCTAGACCTCGTTCAATCCCAAAAGCCCCACGACTGGGTCGAAATTGCTCAGAAATTAGGTTCAAGAACAGCAAAGCAATGCCGGCAATGCCGCGAGCGCTACCGCCAGAACCTGGAGCCGTCCTTGAACCACAAGCCTATTACGCATGAAGAAGGGGCTCAAATCGACCATCTCGTTTCGGAGATCGGCAAACGATGGACCGAGATTGCACGCAAGCTACATGGTCGTAGCGATAACTCTGTCAAAAATTGGTGGTATGCAAGGCATGGGCTCCGGATACAACTCGCCCGCCACCGAAAGAAAAATCTGGTTAGGGAGGAGTATTGCTGCCGAACCGGCACAAGAGAAGGCATGATACAGGCATTGCCACTACTGAACACGGCGCCGTCTCACACGACGCAACATCACCCGCCAAGGTCTTGGTCTGGCCCATCTCCACCGCTCTCCTGCTCGTTTGAGTCTCCCGACTACGAAGCTTATCAAAGCAAAGCATTACCATGCAGAACTGCTGTTATTCAACATCAAGTCATCGAAACAACATCGTCACGAGCGTCGCCCGGAAGCTTTTTGTCTAGCATTGATACGACGTGCAGCGTGAATTCTCCGGCGCAGCAATCAGGTTTGCCCACTATACCAAGCTGCCCAGTGCACCAGCAAAGTTTCAGCAGCATGAGCGAGGAGCAGATGAGGCTGTCTTTCATACTGCGCTGAGCTGTAAGTTAAAAATATCCTTACTGTAAAAATGTACAGTTAATAGGGTGATAGAGGAAAATCGAATTCATAGCTCTAGTTGTATGCTCGTTATGCATCTAAAATGTAGCTATCCGGGTCGATCATAGGTAAAATGACGCTTCCAAATATTTATTGATTTCTGATTCACATGGGGACGCCGCTATTGCCGACCTGGGGCCGCACACCAAACAGCACGCGTAGCGGGATCTCCACTCCTTTCAGCAAGCCCTGCCTCAGCTGCACACTAGGCAACACTAACCAGTCAAACATCGCCTTGCATGGGCGACGTTCCATTTTCCTTGAAATCTTTTGGTGTTCGCCTAATTGGCAGAGGATATATCTTATCCTACAGATTCGGGTTAATATTTTCTTACACGGAACTCCCATTGATAGAACATACCATGTCAATACGAGCTGGAAAGCAATTGTCGTCTGTTGAGCAGTAGTCATAGTGCCGATGTTGTCGGCGCACTAAGACATAAAAGTCGGCCCCGTAACGGCGGCTTAATTGATCGCATCTTCTCATCACGCGATACGTAGCCCTGGCGAAATTTTCTCTCGTTCTGTCCCGCTTTGGCATCATTGGGCAATGGGCTGAATGTAAGCTTAGTTTTTACTTGTTCTTTGCTTGGCATCGCTCCAGCGAAACTTTATATTGTCAGTGGTTGACTCCATTCTCTGATGATGGTATTTGGGATCCAATTTTTGGGAACTGGTTTGCTTTCATCTCCAGGGTCATCCGGGGTTAGCCATTTCTCCCGATCTTTACTGGAGCAGAACGATTGGGGTGTACGTAGTGGTGATGGTTGGGGCCAGGGTGAAGATACCAGTACCTGAATCCAACATTATGTTTCCATGTTTTTGCACGCCTTTTCAGCGTCATGGATACAGCGGCAGCTTGCCGATTGGCTGGCTGACAGCTTTATAGCTAGCGGACAATGAATTATGGAGGTGACGGATATGATTGGTTCTAGTGGCACAAGTGCAGATGATCATCGTCCAATCAGGGCGATATTCTAGCCAAGCGCGAACCAGGAGATGAGACAGCTGTCCAACGAGAGCTTCCCGCAGAAATCACCGAAAATATAGTCGCATTAACTCAACACCGATACTGGTTCTTGAGAATTTCTCCGTAGTTGACCGATTGAACGCTAGAAAGTGTCTAGAATTGATTCGCAGGCGCCTGTGGCTTGCTCTGGTGATTGACTCTATCGTGGGGAATAGGCTGTCCTATTACAGTCTCCAGGTGAGAATCGGCGTAGTCAGTAGGTGCAGTGGCGTACAGGGTCATTTTCACCGGTCAGTAGGTGCAGTAAAGTGTAGGGGGGTCACTTTCACCAGTTGGTAGGTGCAGTAGAGCACAGGGGATCATTTTCACCAGTCGGTAGGTGCAGTAGAGCACAAGGGGTCATTTTCACTTGTCGGTAGGTGCGCCTAGAGACTCTAAGGGGGACGCGGGTTAGCTGGCCTATGATAAGTTCTAGAGGGCATATGAAAATAGGAGTTTTGCCTTCATAAGAGGGCGTATGTGCCTTCATACGACAGCGTATGCCTTCATACGACAGCGTATACTTTCATACGACAGCGTATACCTTCATGCGACAGCGTATGGAAATACGCCCACCCCCCTTCTGCTGGTCGAACACCCGTTTTTCCCCCTCACGGGCACATTGGGCTGGGCACAACGTTGAGCTGGGCACAACGGTCGGCACAACGCCCACTCCCATTCCAGGCTGGTCAAACACCCGATCCCCTTCACGGCACAACGTTGTGCCCAGCCCAATGTTGTGCCCGTGAGGGGGAAAAACGGGTGTTCGACCAGCAGAAGGGGGGTGGGCGTATTTCCTTACGCTGTCGTATGAAGGCATACGCTGTCGTATGAAGGCACAGCTCCTATTTTTATCCGCCCTCTTATTGCTCCATGCGAAGGCTTATTGCTCGCCTCCTGCCGTCATACGCCCTCGTATGAAAGTATAGGTGCACCTCCTACTTGAAGGTAGGTGCACCTCCTTCTTGACGGCAGGTGCACTTCCTACTTTGAGGGTGGGTGCATCTCCTACTCAAAGGTAGGTGCACCTCCTTCCTAATGGTAGGTGCAACCTCCTAGTTTTATACGCTCTCGTATGAGGGCATACGCTGTCGTATGGAGGCACACCTCCTATTTTTATCTGCCCTTGTATTGCTCCATACGAAGGCTTATTGCTCACCTCCTGCCTTCATACGCCCTCGCATGACTGTAGGCATGCACCTTAAGTTAGCTGCAACCTTGTACTCTCATACGCCCTCTTGCACCTAGCTGAGATAGGCCAGCCTACCATCCCGTCTATAGCTGTGTTGCAAACGCACCGAGATGCAGCAAATGAGGGGCAGGACGGCCCGCCCAGTGACGACAGGGCGCTCACGAGAGTGCTACAGTTATCTCGGCGATTGCAAGGTTGCAACAGACGTGCTTGTATCATCCGGCTAGGATCAAATATACGCTCAATATTCGTCTGTACTGTCTCAAAACGCATTTAATCACAACTCTCACTCTCCAGATGATTTATGACGGCCGCTAGAGTTTTTAAATCTCGTTTGCAACGCCTATTTGGGCAGTGATAGAGCTCATGCTGGTGAGAAGGGGAGTCAAGGTGTTGATTCAGTGATGTGAGTTTACCGAAGAGGCGTGCGACTCTTTCAAACCTTGCGCAGTGGTGATAGTTTTCACAGTTGTGCGATATGGTTTCTGTTTCGGCGCTTCTTCAGGTGTGGTACCAAAGACAGGGTTCCTAGCGCCGTGGCACGCCACTACAGATATCAGGCCGCAGACAGTAGGCGGCGCCTGAGGCACTGCTGTGAAGGAGGCACCGTTGTGATGGAAGCACCACTGTGAATGAGGCACCGCTGTTAATGGTGTCTAGCTAGGCCGTGATACCTAACTATGAAGTACCTCGCCACTACCAACAATGCCTCCCAAGGTGGTGCCTCAAAACCATCCTGCTCTAAAACCACGGGTTCTTCCATATTGTCTTGCCACCCAACCCTATCTATCAATGCACACTAATCATTTCAATCGCTACACACTGACTATTCCAACCACTACACAGTCACCATTTTGCGCCCTACACACCGACCACCTTGTCCTCTACACAACGATGTGTGCCACATTATCCTCTCCAAGAACTCCACACTATCTGTTTCCTGTATATATCTAAGGACAGGCCACACCGAGTCTTACTTCAAGCCACTCCCAGAGCACACGAAGAAGTCCACACGTTTTCTATATCTGCACATTGAGTAATCCACACTGATATTTTTACCACTTTTGAACTAAGCTACTGATTACTGATGTAGTAAAAAATCGATGTCTGCTTCAACTCTACCAGCAGTGCCTCACAAGGCGGTGCCCAGCAAGGATCTGCTCATTTCGGCTAGCGTCGCGGTGACTCTACAGGCGGTGTCTCACTAGGCGGTGTTTCGCTAGGCGGTGCTTAAATAGGCACCGCTGATAGTGATGAGACACCACTTCGAGTGAGGCACCGTTACGAATGAGGCATCGCGACTAATGAGACAAAGCCTTGCAAAAGGCACAGCTTTGAATGAGTCGCAACGCTAGAATAAATCAAACAGATCCTTGCGAGGCACCGTCTTGTGAGGCACTAATTCCGAGGCTCCCGGCACTACCCAATGTCATGGTTTGGTACAACAGCATCTTCCGCAGTACGAGAGGTCCGCCTCTTGCTAAGTGCGTTTCTCCCTCGCTCGCCGTCCAGGTCTGCATTTGTGGACGTGAGCGATATGCAGTGTTTCGTTGGCATCCGATCTTCCGCAGCGGCAGTAGAAACTTCCCGTCGTTTCTCCTTTCACCACACATTTGTGGAAATGTCTCTCATAGTTGGACTTTCTTGTCGTTCGGTAATGACTATCTCGACACTGGTAAAAGACGGTATCTGGCCCAATATGAACCCCTTCCAAATGACGGGTGAGGTCACCCCTCTGTAGAAAGGGTTTTTCGCATATTGGGCAAAAATGGCCATCACCGGGTTTGTGGTGCCCAGCTCTTTTCTTTGTAAGATTCTTCGCCTGGGCATCCCTGATATTGAAGTCATCTCTGCTCGAGCATAGAGAAACTGGATTTTGCGTATCTGAATCGTCTATCATGTGCGCGTCTAGATCCTCTGAACCCGCCTCCGCATCGACAGCATCTGCCATCTGCATGCCACCATCGTCATCTAAGATCGGCCTGTCTGCATCCGCTGGTTGAGACGGCGCATCTATTTCCCCCGCAGTGGTATCTTGATGGGTAGGAGGAAAAAGCTCGTCCATCAGTTCATCAATATCGGCCGAGGTTATGAATGCCATTATAGAAAATCAGAGAGATGTGCCAAAGGTCGAATACTATCCACCAGTGAGACCTTGCAAACAAGACAAACCTACTATATACATAAGCCTTGGTGTATGCAGAATACAGAAAGCAGCAAACATGACGCTCTTTGCCCCACGGCCCACGCTGCGCCAGCGGGTAACTAGGTGGAAGCCGCTAGCGTCAAACAGACCGCAGCTCCCAGACGCAGTTGTTATATCCATTGAAAGTATCAGTGAACTGAATTGTGCAGCAAGAAAGTAACCAGGGATACCATACCCTTTTCTGGTGCTGTACCGATAATATGGAACGAGTATTTCTTTCCGAGGCTCCTTACCGATTGCTGACCTGAGCTTAGGGCCATCATCAAAAAGTAGCGTGCTGTTTTCAGGCATCGCTGTAGCCATGAGCGGCGCAGTTATGTCCCATCACTGCGTTACAACTGCATATATGATAAAGGCGCCTGCATTTTATTGAGCAGAAAGCCGCGTTGTCCAAAAGACTTTGGTGCGTTCAAATCAAGATGTCAAGTCCCGTCTTTCAGCGATATACTGGTTTGCCGAGTGTCGGCGATGGGGAAGTCGAGGAGTGAGTGCTCCTAACCAATGCTGCTGCCATGTAGCCTTTCTTAACCATTACGATACGATAGAATCCTTACGGCAAAAGCTTGCTTTGTGATGATGAATGGGAGCAATGGGTTTTCCTTTACTGCCCCATTATCGCTACTATCACGCTTGTCTGCCCCCGTCGATGCACTGGTTCACAGTGCAGTTGAAGGTGCCCACGCCTGTGTGAATCTTGAAGTTTCCGATAAAGACACATTTTATCGGTTCTTTCAATTTGTGTACATGGGCAGTTATGACGAATTGACCTCACCTGAGAACGCGCACCTTGCCGACGACACTAAAAATGGTTTGCCTGTTCTCGCAAAGATATCTGCCGAAAGGTCAGACGTCGTGGAAACCCGGCCTGTCTTGTTTGGAGCCTCCAGCACATCCGCCGTTCCCGGAACCTCAGCCCAGTCTCCTTTTGGCGGAACCCCTAGCGGAGGAGCTCTGTTTGGATGCTCAACCCAGTCCGTCCCTAGCGGAGACGCTTCTTTTGGATTTGGCGGCTCAACCCGGCCTGTCTTCGGCGGAGGCGGTCTGTTTGGACGCCCTCAAACCGGCTTCAAGCTGCCTTACTCTATCGTTTCCTGCCGGGATGCACTGCGCAAGGTCACACCTCCCTTAATTCCGACCAGAGGGGAATGTGAGGAGCTGAGTCACAATAATGTTGATTATCGTCTGTCATTTAAGTCACATGCTATTTCCGCATTCCTGCGAAGCCATGACCCTATGTATTCATGGCAGACTGCTGCGGGCAATGAGCGAGACTCTTTCGGAAATGTATTCGTTGGTCACGCAAAAGTCTGGAAATTTGCAGAGAAATATGCCATAGCTGCTCTGATGGACTTTTCTACCTCTGAACTCATCCGCGAGCTGGCATGCTGGATGATTAAAGACTCAGCGTTTGTTACAGATTTTGGACAGTTAGTTCGCCACTCCTACCATGACTGCAGCGCGGGAGGCATTGCCCAGTTTGCCGCATGCATATTCGAGGATGCGAAGGACCTAGACAGCTGGCAAGAGCTGCTGAAGGAAGTTCCGGCCTTTCATTCTGATTTAGGTCATGCACTTGCTGAGGTATACTCTACGTGGCAACCTATTATATTTAGGGAATGAGAGAACTCGACAGCGTTAGTTCTTACTTAGATTGCAGTAATTGAATGGTTATTTTAATAAAATTACTATTTTGATAACTTAATTACTGAAGTATACGCGACTTCATTCGAGTGTGCAAGCTGCGTGACAGCCAGCCACTGGCGCTAATTCAAGTACTAATTCATTTCAGAGGGGGTGCCCCTTAGTGAGTGGTAAAGTGACCAGCTACGGTGCATTGTACGGAGGTCGATGACTAGCAATGAAGCTAGGCACTGAAGAGACTCTGTAGAGCCTCTACCTGAGCGTTGGCCCCTGAAGTAGAGACAACTAGGTATCAAAGGCTTACCCTTATATCCAGCAGCTACAGCTACCTGAAGACTGGAAGGTGTCTAGCCTCAGCCGCTGATTTCAGACGCATGGCAAGACTCTGTGCCGAGTACGCAAACCCACTTCAGAAATCAGACATCGGGCAAAGTAGAGAGGGGCATGGAACCTATCAACACTTAAATATCGTCTTGCATGTTCGGCAGACGAGCTTGTCTTTTCAAGACTCTCCTATGCATTCGTTCAGAAACAATCTTGAAAAAAACGGTTCGCGTGTTAGTGGAAACGCGCTTTGCAAAGGCACTGTCATTACAATTGATATGGCCCGAAGATATTCCAGACCAAGAGCGCCCGAAAAGCGTAACACTGACAAATTGCAACAGAAAAAATTAGCAAGAGTCAACACGCTGTGCCAAAAGCTAGTTGGAGATGATACATTCAACGCCTTTGCGGACAACTGTGCAAGCACTGTAACTGACTGGCATTCTTTGCTTTGCAAGACCACCTTGTCAACGGACATTCGCAGAACAGATCCAAGTATTACCGCTGCATTCAAAGCTGTGGACAATATCATAACATGCAAGCAAGGAACATACTTGCTGCGACGCCTCGCTTATATTCAGCTGATGCGAATCTTCACCTCTCTCGAGAGCATAATAAAGGGCGAGAGGGACAAGGCTCAAGTGGACAGATTACCTTGCTACCGTGCCTCTAGTGTTGCAATGGACATATATGTTTCTTGCCAGGAGGAACATTCTAGTCAGACAAATCTACGAGATAAGCTAAAGGAACGTAAGCGGACTGGGCGAAGCTGGGTCCAGCTCGCAGGACCATCACCAGTCCTTGCTTTACTCTACTCCGAAGTAGCAGAGCCAACACTGTTCGTCCGCTCTGCTCTAAAATTTTACAGTATGCTAATAATACGCAGTAGGGATTTCAAAAGGACAGACCGAGCAAGCATTACCTTGATAGCTGCTACAATCCATTCAAACTGTCCCCAGCGAATGATTGAGGCTGCAGATGTCGTCACTAATGCGGTGGAGTCGGCAGTCCGATCCAATGCGCCGCTGTCAGCAAACCCCGGTGAACAGTTTGGCCAAATTGCGGCGGACATAAAGGGGCATTTGGCTAGTGAAATGGTTAGTGTGTAGAGGGTCAGTGGCGAACGTGAGGTCCCTAGAATTGGGTAGTAGGTAGATGAGATGATGTAGCAGTGCAAAAGATTTTTGGTTCTTGGATGTTTGACGGTATGCGTGGAACAAGCTTGGGATTAGGCTTGAGGATGACGCGGTTGCTGGCATATCGCACAAGCTAGTCTATAGCGACACGATACTCAGCATTTCGCTCTACAATTTTTTCTCATCAAAGAGAGTCGCCCGGAAAATTTGATACCGGTAACATATTTGTTTATATCTATGTGTTGGGCTTGAGCGAGATATCGCACCCATGTGTCACATGCCCTAGCAGCCGTTTAGTCACGCCGTCTGCTCTACACTCTCGACGCCGCCTGTCTGATTGGTGCGGACCCTGTATTTACAGCTTCTCACTGGTGAGAACCACACATTATAGTTCGCAGGCCGTTTCCTGTATCCGATCCCTGTTCAACTTTCATCCATCGATGCCACCAGCTAAGGCCGGATGATAGTTGCACAACCACAAGCGCCAGCTAGCCCTCGAGCGGCAGCAACGCGGACTAGGGCTGGAAGCAGCGGACAGACCCTGGTGGATCCAGAAAACATGCGGCAGCATCGTTGCATGCTCTCTTGATGCTTGCGCCAGGGGCCAGCTCAATACAGTTTGCTGATTAGAGAGTTTGGAAGACTAGCGCCTATGGCAGTATTGCGAGCGCTTGGAAGAGTGTCAAATCAGAACGCATTATTGAACCTGTTTCTGTCTGCTTCATGGTGGTTGTGCTACCAAGACTGTTTACAGCTGGTGGTAGCGTTTCCGATCACCCAGCTTGGAGCGTGCCAACGATCGAGACAGAGGGACCTCAGAAACAGACTTGCGTCAAACACGATATAATAGCTCCAACAGCCAGCGTTTCACAACTGAGATCCTTGAGCAAACTTAACAATGACAATTCCGCAATCACAGCGTGACAGAACAGGCGAGAACTTTGCCAGAGCGACGTATCGCTTAATGAGAAGATGCGATCAACTAAGCCGTCTTTACGGCGCCGACTTTTACGTACTAGTGCGCCGACAGCATCGGCACTACGACTACTGCTCAACTAAGGATTGTCATTTCCCGACCCGCATCAACATGGTACGCCAGATATTTGAGGTCATTTTGATCGAATGTGATGCTAATTGCTCAAGGAAACGGTCTATCCTCGAGCTATTAGGCGGACGCCCAAAGATTTTTCTTGAAACTCGGCAAGGCGGCCCTGCCAATTAACAGATTTAATGGCAATACTGAGCGACGAGGCTGCGTGATGGGAAAAAAAAAGGGCATGGCAAGCTATTATCTCCGCCTGCATTGCACTCTTAAGTGATACAACTGAAATCACTAGGCGATCAATGAAACTCTGTGGCCGTAGTGGTTGAAAGGACGAATTGGGATACTTCACCAAGGACAAGGGTACCCATCTGCTTTTAGAGAGACGTCTTAAAACCAGAACATGAAGCTAGTCGGGGTGGGAGAGCGGCAGTCAGTGCAAGGAAGTGCTGGTGCCCAGTCAGTGGCTGTCAGTTAGTGCTGGTTAGTGGTTGTCGGTAGAGGCTACTCATATCAAATCAGCTATAATCACCCCTAATCGGTTAGTGGCAGTGGCTGTTAGTGACAGTAAAAGTCAGTGACACTTTGTGGTAGTTCAAGGCAGTTTGCGCTAGCGAGTTGATGTGGTGATTACACCGGAATGCTTACCAGTATGGAGAAATCCTGGGGACCATCAGCGTGATTTTCTGTTCAGAAGCAACCTTACCAGTAAATCAGTGGCCAGCGCTGCGACGACAGTAAATGGTCAGCGGTTTAACCGTCAGAAGCAGCATTTTTTCCAGCACTATATCCACTGTAAACTTCTGAACAGAGCTGAGAATGCTGCCGGACTGGTAGAGTCGGCCTCTTTCAGCACTCTGTCCCTGTCTTGACTGGTAAACAGCGATGTAAATGCTGTAGGACTAGTAAAGTCGGCCTCTTTTTCAGCACGCTGTCCCTGTCTTGACTGGTAAACAGTGATGTAAATGCTGGAGGACTGGTAAAGTCGGCCTCTTTTCAGCACGTGGTCTCTGTCTTGACTGGTAAATAGTGATGTAAGTGCTGTCTTGACTGGTAAACAGTGATGTAAATGCTGTAGGACTGGTAAAGTCGGCCTCTTTTCAGCACGTGGTCTCTGTCTTGACTGGTAAATAGTGATGTAAGTGCTGTCTTGACTGGCTGTCCCTGTCTTGACTGGTAAACTGTGATGTAAATGTTGTAGGACTAGTAAAGTCAGCCTCTTTTCAGCACGCAGTCCCTGTTTTGACTGGTAAACAGTAATGCAAATGCTGCAGGACTGGTAAAGTCGGTGGCTTCTTTTCAGCACGTGGTCTCTGTCTTGGCTAGAAAACACTAGGGCGCCTAGTTAGCTCTCCACCGCGATTGGTAGAAGAAAAACCAGTGCACTGAGGTTAGTACAGGGCGCTTAGTGGCCTAACCAAGACCAATGACCAGGCTCGTTAGCCTCTATAGACAGCTCTTAGCTTGATTTCACGAGCTTGGTCTCCAACAAAAGTTCATCCATCTCCAAACGTAGAGCTCCAGGAGAGTGCGCCTAGTTAGGTGGCTTCGTGGCTGCGACTGTAAAATTAGTGACTACTGGGCGGCTGGAGACCTGACCTAACCGGTCAGGCCACAGCAATCTGGCTCATAAGCTCCGCATAGCGTTTTGGTGAAGACGTACGAATAGAATGCATTGAACTCCATTTGACCGATTCTTCTTGGTGTGATTTGCAAACATTGCCCTCAGATTCATCAATACGGTTCGTCAAGGCATTCTGACTCGTGTTTGGTGCGCACTAGGACAAGAAGTCATAAAGCAGAGCATCAAGTGGTTCACATGCCATAATTTGCTATACTGCAGTCTACCTCAAATACTTACAATATAATATACGTACAAGCAGCTGGATCACATTCTAACGGCGGCCATCTTTGCGAGTTTCTTCTGCTGCCGTCCTCTGTGTGCCTTTTCACGGCGCGCCGCCTGCCTTTGTCTCCTCTTTGCGACTTGGTCCGATGACCTGAGGCTCACTCCATGTACTCGCTCAACATGACCTCGAAAATGGTCCACGTGGTCAAACTTCTCCTGCCTGCATTTCGGATGGCCACACCAGATCGCCTCACCACGTCGCTCGGCTGTCTCTCGGCGGCCCAAGTGCTCGTCGTCAAAGTGGTCATTCAGTACCGGCGGACGGCAATACTTAAACTTCCGCGCCTCGACCGGCATCTGCTCGTCACCAATGCAGTCTGGGCATTGCGTTGTTTCCATAAGCAGTGGGAAAGGATCCGGCCCGAAATCTAGTTCCGACGATGCGTCACTTTCCGGCGACTCTTGCTTGATAGAAGCCTCGATCCTGGCTGGCCGCTGCGCGCGTCTAGTTTTGCCTGTTTCCTTCTTATCACAAAGAGCCACCATCAAGTCTATGGCCTCAACTCTGTATTTGAAAAGCTCATCATCTGTCCAGCCATCGGGCTGCAGGCACAGAATTTCGGCCAATCTTGCCTGTTCCGGTATGACAAGGTCAATTGCTGGCTGCTCGAATTCTTCGTCCACCTCGCCGCGGGCTTGGGCCTCAATGTCCCAGGTGGGACGGTTGTAGAAATAGTATTCGCGGTATTCTTTCACAGTCATTCTATCGCGCTGTGTCCGCTTGTTTCTGATCTCGTCCGTGAGCGTTCGTATTCTCTCCTCATGCTGACTATCCTCAATTCGATACCTTCCCTGCTTAAGCTTTGTGCGCTCCTCCTCCAACTCCACAATCTCGGGGTCGGGAGGTTGATTCGCCCATACTGCATCAGGCACCATATCCCGAACGGCACGAGGGTCGCGGGTGAAGCTCACATGTGCAAACATGCGAAAGAGCTGACTTTGCTTCTCCTCCTCCAGGAAGGCATTCTGGAGATCAAAGTTGGCAATCTCGTTCAGATACGCAGAGAAAAATGTGGCGAATTGAGGGTCATGCCGCATCATCTGATCGCGGACCGAATCCGGTGCGTCGCCTAGCAGAGTTAGCATTAGTGTCGATGATGGTGGCGGCATGTGCAATCTCTGGCCTACCATTTGCGGCGTTCGCCGCACCTCGCCGGGCAAACCTGGGCGTCCAAGCCTTCTCATGGCCGGACTCCAGGCTCTGCCGGCCCATATCATAATTCAGCTTAGAGTAGAGCATCGCCTCGTTTTCAGACAACGTTGCACCGTTGATGCGGCGAAAAACAGGGACTTTCAATTTCTCCTTTTTCCAGCGGATTGGCATGCAATCCTGAGGACCCCAAACATCCTTCGAGAGCAGACTATTGGCATCGGTTAGGCACGACGCATCGAACGCATGGTCATGCAGGGCCAGCGCGACGATAACCATGACCGCGTCAAATATCAGCTTCCTAGTAGGCGTGAAGAAAAAAATCGTCCTAAACATTTCGCAATTAGCAGCCGGCCAGATGGTAGTGGGGTGGTATATGAGGTAGAACACACGGCTTCGGCTTGTTGTCTGCTCCTTTGTGGTGGATGAATTTAATGGCCATGGCCAGGACAGGCTTTCCTGTAGCGGGGTGTCGCACTAGCATCAAAAGAATGTCCTCATAGCAGAGAGCTTTAGGACGGCCTCTCTTCGTTGTCTCTCGTAGGAGCATCTTGTTGAGTTCTTTGGAACGCTTGTCTAGCGTCCGGTCCGCGCTGCCGTCGCTGTCCGCTTCTTGTATGACTTTCTGCCCAAAGAGTATTTCTCTGGAGCCATCCTTCGGGCCCTTCCTCTCGTTGTCCACCAACTCTGCAGGTCGTGCTCCAGTGTAACACAGGAGCTGATAGCAGCCGGCCAGCTGGATGCGATGCCGCCCAAGGCTGAATACGCTCGTGTCGTACGCGATGTTGAACGTCAGAATGACCCGAAGACTGTCGACATTCAGGACTGGCTTGCCGTCTATATTCGGTGCTCGGAGATGGAAGCGAGGTATTAAGACAGTTCGGTGGTACTGGGCTGTGGTCAACACGCATGATTGGGAGCTCAGCTCAGCGGGTTTCCATACCTTGTAGACTTCCTTCGCATCATTTCTATCCATGTAGCGCCCTGTGACAGTCGTGTAGAGCTGCTGGAACTGGCGGATGTACTCCCCTGAAGAGCCCCACGATCGCACTTTGTAGTTGCCGCAGACGAAGAGAAAAAAATCCATCGTAGTGGCGCGGCTCAGGTTAGCAATCGTGGCTCGCCAGTCGCCGACATTCATCTCATTGCAGTAGCTGCACCAGGGTTAGCTGTGGGCTCCAAGATAGGCTTGTAGGCGATCTTGGCGTACCGTTTCCATCTTCCCAAGATGCCGGAGACGTTGATCTCCGTTTCGGCAGAGTAATTCGGCTGCACGAATTGAACAGTGCTGAGACACTCCCGATTCGCGGCATGCTGCTCGGCCGAGAGCGGCGCAGGCTTTGCTGCTTTTTCAAGCTGCTTGGCTTTTTGAAACTGGAGGAAGTCCAGGTGGTGGTTGTCTGGAGCGTTTGCATGTCGTGTGCGGGCGACGGCGCTTGGCATCGTGGATGGATCGCTTCTGTTGACCGGGTGCGGGGGCGGCCACGGTTGGAGGCCACAACGGTCTTGGGGTGATGGATGAAAGGAGGAGGAAGGGGCAACGAGGGCGCCGCCGCTCTATATATTGTCGTGCCGGCCATTCTGGTGGTAACAGCCGCCGAAGTTCGTGGGCAGCGAAATTAGCACACGGCCAACGAGCAACAGGAAACGGGAAGCAGGCTGGTGTGGTCGTTGGAGGGGCCAGTGGGTTGTGTGTAGCCAATGCCGCCAGAAGTACACGGTACCTGGCAGGGGTGCGCCTGGAGCGTGAGTCCCCTCACTGCTGTTGCCGCTAAAAACGGCGGCAGAACCCGCCAGATTTGGTGGCTCCAGCAGCGGATCTTGCATTTAAAGAGTAATAAAAGTATTAAAATATACTAAATTTAATAATTCTTAAAAAAAAAGAGAAAAAAAAGTAAAAAATAGGGCCTTAAAGGATATTTATCCTTAATAATCTATACTAGAGTTAATAAAGTAACTATAAGATTAAAAAATAAAAATAAAAAACTATTAAATAAAAAGAATAATAATATAAGAACCTTATATATATATAATAAAATTATATTATACTTATAGTAAATAATAATAAAGTCTTTTATATTTAAACTAAAAAAGTAGTAAAAAGAAAGTAAAAGTAAAAAATATATTAATAAAAAGAATAAAAAAGAAAGAAAGGCCTAATAAAAGAATAATAAAAAAGTAGTATAAAAGTATAATAGTAGAAACCTATTTACTTTAAAGATAAAGAAGTAGTAAGAAGAAAGTAAAAATAAAGAATATATTAATAAAAAGAATAAAAGAGAATAGAAGGTTTAATAAAAGAATAATAAAAGAATAGTATAAAAGTATAATAATAGAAACCTATTTACTTTAAAAATATAAAAGTAATAAAAAGAAAATAAAAGTAAAAAATATATTAAGTAGAAAAAAGAAAAGAAAAAAAAGACTTAAGTAAAATATAGTAACTATATAATAAAAGAATAATATAGTTAAATAATAAAAAAAGGAGGACTAATTATAAAATAAATATAAACTACTAAATAAATAATAAAAGTAAAATTATTAAATTATATATAAAGAACCTATAAAGGCTTAATATATTTAATACTATTATATATATACTTAATAATAAGTGTACTAAGGATAGTGTAAAAAGGAAGAGTAGTCTATTAGGGTCCTATTAGAGTACTTATTAAAGCCTCTATATTATATATATTAAGTATATATAAGCACTTATATAATAGTAAGCTACTATTAAGCTCTCTATAAGAAAGTAATAATAATTCTATCTTTATAAAAATATAAAAGGGATTATTATATAACTAGAGTCCTCTAAGTAAAGCACTTTATAGAAGGTTGCGCCTTTAGGACTGGATAGTGAGATACCTAGTAAAAACTCTAAAAGTAGAGTCTATCGTCCGTTATAGTGTAAAAGGCCATAAAACTTAGGGATAATAGTGCCCTATAAGGGGCGGAGGACACAATACGCCTCGACTTCAGTGTAAAAAAATTCGTCCATGCTTTCTTGGTCTTTGCCGGATTTCTGTATCTTTAGTACAGCACGGTTAGGAAGGAACTACTCTGGAAAGACAATACGGACCTAAGACTGGGCAAAGGCGGGGAGGAGCCGGGTAATGAATGTGAAGAAGTCAGCCAAGGTTGACGGGCAGATCCGTAGTCCTAGGACATGGGGATGCAAACGAGAAATCGGAGAAGCTTGCGCGGAGATCAGACGGGTGCGCAACCAGAAGCACTATTCTCCACAGTGTTCGATTAGCACAGGCCTTTATTAGGGATTGCACAACTGGACACTTCACTTATAATAGGTTTTGTCGGGGGCTCGCGTGGGGCCATGGCAAGTCAAGCTGCGGAAAGCCGGTAACGTTCTGGTTCCCTAGGAAGTCGGTACTTGGGGAGCGGAATATCAGCATCGTGGGCTGCTGAAGGCAGGCACGGAACATGGTCGACAAGAACATCGTCTCTGGCCTCCATTACGCAAGATATGGGTGGACTTAGTAAGGAGGGAGGGTAGGTTGGTCAAGCTTGGCCTTCGTGTCGTCGTGCGTAGGGGTCGTGCACGTGTTTATCACATGCCGCAGCCTGCCTGTTCCTCTGCTCTTTCATTAGGCTGTGTCTGAGTCAACGGCTGCCTGCGAGGCTGGGAGTTGCTGGGCAAAGACAATAAAACTCACTCAAAACGCGAGGTAACTCTAACTATAACGCCCTTTCTTATTTTTTCTCCTTCCTTCTCCTTATTACTTGCTCACAGACTCCTAGTTTGCGCTCACTTCCAGCCAGCAGATCCACAGGAACCAAGTGGTCCTGTATTTCGACATCCGAAAACTTTACATCGCTAGCCTGAAAATCGACCAAATACCGCTATTATGCCTACTGCCTATAATCTTATACACTAGGACGCTATTAATACCCTCTATAACCCAGAGTTTAAATCTTACACAGACAAACCATGGGCACGGGCATACGAATCGATGCAAAACCTCACTATTCACACGACCATTGACAATGCTGATTTCGATCGGGCGTTTCTAGCTCTTGGAAATGACGAGGGAAAAAGGACTAGGGAGCCTGCTCATCTACCAAACAAGCGTTACTGGAGACTGGAGACCGAGTCTGACGCGGAGCATTGGTGGCATACAGAAATATCGGACATTGTGATGGCGGCGTGGGTCAGATATCCCGCGATCGTTCAGACCTGCCACACCGACACCCCTAAGCGAAATCAAAATTCGGAAAATGTGGACTCAACCTATGGCGTGTATATTGGCAACCAACGATATCCCGTCGCAATCGCCGAAATGGAAAGAAACCTAATCAATGAGAAGGATTGGCAGGCGAACGCGTTGAAGGCAGAACCAACAGAAACTAGCGCGTGAGCTTCGCGGGTAAGTAACGTCTATATACTGTCAATTAACTCAAGTACAGACAGTCCTGTATTTATGGGTCTTTTCCTAGTTAACTCTAACTATCAATGTCCGCAAGTCTTCTGCTGGGACGGCCGATTTTTGCTGCTCCTTCAGTTTCGGGCCCATACGCCCGAATATATTAAGGATGCACGCTGCCCAATTGACTGCTGGGTTATCCCCGTTAAGAGGCTCTACGTGCACCTTGTGGTACGCACTCTACAGACTCATGGTCCAGGGCCTTCGGAGGTGCCAGGCGATTCTTGCGCCAAAACCTCTTACCGTTGGTAGTTTCCAAGAGCATAGGCGAGAGTTTTTTACTGGGCGTCCGATTTGGAAGCTGAACGGCCAGTCGCTTGCTAATCATCCTGGAGAATTTTGTTCGAGCTGTTGATCGCACTAATGCTCTAATCTTAAGTTTTTTAAAAGATAGGATACTTAGGACCTATAGTATATTTTATTAGCGCTTATAGTAGAGAGATTATTAAAGTACTAATCTACTTTATTATAGTTAGAATAATAACTCTATTATAAGTATTCTATTATTTAACTATTTTACTATTTTTAATAATATTAACTTTATATACTTTTTTTTATATAAAATAGACTATATAAATTAAAATTCTAATTATTAATCTATAATTAAATTTAAAATAAACTATACTATACTATAAGTATAAAGAGACTTTTATTTAAAATGCCTTATTATTTAAATAATACTAAAATAATAATATTAATATAAAAAAGCTTTTATAATTAGAATCTATTTATTAAGACTTTTATAATTTAATAAGATTATAATTTAAAAATTAACTATAGTACTTAAGTTAAATAGTAAATAAATATAAAGATCTTTAAAGAATCTAGAATACTTTTTTAATAACTAAAATTACTTATAGAACTACTATTAATAATAATACTAATTAAAACTATATTTAATAGTTTATTAAAGAGTTAATTATAAGTTAATTTAATTATTTTAAAGTCTTTATAATACTGTAGAAGTTAATTATATTTATTACTTTTATTATTATTAGAAAATAATATTTTAATATTATTATTAATAGTTTTAAATAATTATAACTTATTAATAATAAATAAACTATATATTATTATAGATTAATTAAGTATCTTTTAAGTATTCTTTAAGTTACTATATCTTCTATAGTAACTTAATACTTTCTAGATGCTTTAAATAATAATATAAAAAGTAGATTTTTTACTTCTTTTAGTAAGTCTAAAAATACCTATATAAAACCCGTACTAGCTTAATATATAACCTTTAACCTTATTTAAAAGTTAGATAAAAACTATATAGATTTATATATAAATCCTTACTAATTTTAATAAAGTATAATTTTTATATAAATAAGTCCTAAGTTACCTCTAAGTATCCTATTAAAAATAAACTTAAGATTATAGTATAATAGAGGTCTATATAAGAGTCACCTAATAGTATAAGATATTATATAAGAATCTAAACTTACTAGTAGTAAGTAAATATAAGTTAGACTATACTCTAACCTATAAAGAAGTCTTATAAATATCTTCTACTTATTAAAGTATAATAGTAGCTTAATCTAAATCTATAGTTAATCTATTTTTTAAGAAGAGAGTTAGTTTAAATATATAGAGTACTAATAAGTAGTTATTATAAGTTATATTTAAGAGATATCTTTTAATAGTATAGTTATTACTTAGATTAATTAGTAGAGATCTAGTCTAACTATCTATTAGAAATCCCCTTCTTTATATATATAATCTATTCTCTACTATATTATTTAGATTACTTAGCTTACTTTATAATCTTAATAATCCTAGATTAGTACTAGATTACTATAATCCCTAGTGATCTAGTTATATAACTAGTCTGTTTATTGTTACACCTTTATAAGCGCCCTATAGTCACTTTATTAGGCCACCCTACCCCTTATCTATAGCACCTTAGTGTATTTATAATATAAAGTTACTAAGTACCTTCTATTAACCTTTTAGTAGGTAGTAGTATGTCTTATACTAGGTATTTAACCTATCTTTATAATAGTAAAGATAGTAAAGATAGTAAAGATTATTATAATAGTTATAATAGTTATAATAGTTAAAATATATATATATAATACCTAAAATAGGTAAAATACCTAATAGGAGAAAACACATATTACTACCTACTATATTATAGAAAACAGTACTTTATTAGCGTCCTAATAAGGGCCTTAAAATCTAAGGACCCTATAGGAATACTGTAGATACAGTCGGCTAACTGCTAGTTCCTGTTATTTAATAAGCAGCTTCCGTCCTCTATACCATGTTTCAGCCACGCTACCCTGTAGGAGCCGAGTGGGTTCCCAAGCTGCGTCTAAAACGGTCAAGTTGGCCAACTTGCCCACCTCGAGCTTACCAACGTGTGCATCTGCAAAGCAACTGTAAGCGGCACCTTGTGTATAGGCAGCTGTAGCGGCAGCTAAACTCAGTGCAAACTGTGGCGTAGTTGCTTCTGTCATTTCGGGCTTGTGTCCGGACTTGCGCGTCGTTGCAGTGTACAAGTTGGGCAGCGGCTCGTGGGACGCGGTTGGAGCGTCCGTACCCAGCGCAACGATGGCGCCATGCTCAGCAAAACCATTGTAGGGGAAAACGTGGCCGCATCGCTTGGCTCCGATAAGATCTGGCCACGCCGTCAAGTTGAACGGATCGCTGTGGACGGGCTGGACCGAAGCCGTGATGCCCAGCTTGCCCAGACGAGGAACGTCCTCGGGCGCGCACGTCTCGAGATGTTCAATGCGATGTCGCCCGGTCGGATTGTTTACAGCTTCCAACCCGTCAAGAGCGAGCTTGATGGCTGCATCTCCGATTGCGTGGATGGCAATTTGTAAACCGGCGTTGTCCGCTCTCTTCAAGATAGGCCGCAGCTCATCCAGTGTCCACATGGTCGGCTCATTCTGCCCGGTGTGAGAATACGGCTCGACGAGGCTGGCTGTGCACGAGTCCACCACACCGTCGCACATCAGCTTGATTCCTGCGATACGACAGTCTGGCGTATCCGTAGCGTTGAACTTTTTCTTGAGTTCAATCGCGCGCTCCACTTGCTTCAGATTGTCCTCAGCAGAGCGCGTTGGTGCAATGAACCAGTGCATGGCCATCCAGATTGGCAAGCTTCCGCCGCGACTGGCGCGATACTTGAGAAGTATGTCAAGCGTGGCGTCATCCATGGCCATTTCAACCAGTCCCGTGTAGCCACTCTTGACGTACGCTACAAAAGCATCGTGCACAAACTGGAGCTTTTGCTCCTCGGTGTGCTGCTTGCTGAGGAACGGCATCGCCAGGCCCAAGGCTGCACTCTCCGACAACAATCCGCTGGGCCTACCATGCTCATCTCGGTGGATTTTACCACCAGGCGGGTCTTCCATGGCAGCGACTTGCAGCTCGTCCAAAGCAGCTGTGCTGCACCACATAGAGTGCACGTCAAATGCGGTGATGTAAATGGGTCGCGGGTCCAGGTCATCGAGCGTGCTGGCCAGGGCTTCGTTGTTGGTGGATGCTTGAAACCAACTGCGGCACGAAAGGCGCGGCACATCGGGGTGTGCCTTTGCGTATTTTCGGATAGAATCGCGAATCTCCTCTAGATCCTTGCAGTTCTTGAGATCCAACTGATCCAGTGACTCCCCTGTATGAAGCACGTGCATGTGGCTGTCGATGAGTCCGGGTATAATCAAGCGTCCTTGCATGTCCAGCACTCGCGCACCAGACCTCACAAGCTCTTGGATAGCAGCGTCTTCATAGAGTCCAACATGTTGAACAGTACCATCTTGGTCGTTTATTGCGAGGCATTGTGCAAATTCGGCGTTGCTTGTGTTGTATTCAGCAGGCGGCCGAAGAAACCGACCGTTGGTCAGAACTGTAGGCATGGCTTGGAAACTGACGCAACAGATGGCGTATCTCGGCTGCCACAGCAGTGCAAATAAAGATAGTAGATAAAGTTGTCAGAGTAGTAAAGAAGAAAGACCTTATCAGACAAGCGACTACTGTGTGCAGAGTGCACAATATTGTTGTATTAAAGCGAAGCGCCACGCGTCTCGTCTTAGCAATTTAGCGCAGCCTTCCGGTGTCCGCGGGCGCGGAAGATAAACTTTGCGGGTTGCTGTCAAGTCAGCCACGCGTATAAGTACAACCATTCTGGCCGGAAACTTATCGTGGAGAGGTCGCCATTTTCTTTCATAGGAGGCTATGCTTTGGATATCAATCTTCGAATAGCCACTTATCGCAAAGAATTGATTGTTAAGTCAGATACCAAAACGGCAATGCGGTGATCATTACTCCTTCAAGCCGCAATACCCCCGCATCCGGTGCCGGGATCTTCGCGTGGCTTCGCAGCTATCGCTGTCCGCGGGGGACCGGGCTATCTTCCCGCTTTTATCTTTTGCATTAACCGTTCCGAAGGCTTTTCAAATTAAGCAGAAAACGAACAATTGCCGAGACTTTCTATCACGCTAGCAGATGCCACAAACGACTGTTGAAGCGTCTGAGCTCCAGACACAAATGCGAAAGCGGCTGCGGAGCACAATAAAAGTAGGGGAGAGCCCACACTGTTATTGTTCCCCAGATTTTCATCTTACCTGCAATCTCCCGGAAATACACAATCTCCGCTGACAAAGTACTCAATCATTTTGCTGAGACACTCGTGGTTGAAAATGGCGAGTCCGACGACGGAGCAACGCCTGCAGGACCAACAACACCCGCCTGGGACGCTGCTCTTGGAAGACTGTAGGACACCGCACCCATCTATTCTCTCAATTTAAGAACAAGCACCCTTTATCGTATATATATCCTAACTCTTTAATTTAGTACAGCATGGCAGCGGCAAAGTACTTCTTCATCCTATTCCAACCAGAGACCCAAATGATCCTCTCAATTGGTCCACGGCGCGCAAAGCCTTCAGCATCGGCCTCGTGCTGCTCTACGTCACGCTGACGTTTGTTCAGCTCGATATTGGCGTCATTGCGTTTGGCCAGTACCAGAGCGAGCTGGGCTTTGACATCAACACGCTGAACAGTGGGCAGGCCATGGGCTACGCCGGCTTGGGCTTGAGCAGCATCCTCTTCGTTCCTCTTATGAACAAGTATGGTCGGCGGCCCATTTACATCATCAGTCTAGTACTGCAAGTCACTGCCTGCGTGTGGCTTGCTATGACCAAGACCAAAGCTGACATGCTCCTGAGCAATCTGATGGCTGGATTCGGTGGTGGCATCTGCGAGACGATTGTGCAGATGACCATTGCCGACATCTTCTTCGTGCACCAGCACGCTGCGATGAACGCGTACTATCTGTTTTCCACCACCATCGGGTCGACTCTCGGCCCGGTCGCCGCCGGCTACGTGATTGAGAGCCAGGGCTGGCGCTGGATATGGTGGTGGTGCGTCATCCTCATCGGCGCCAATCTTGTGCTTGTCATCTTTCTATTTGAGGAGTCAAAATACACCCCCATGCTCAACGGCGAGACTCTAGCTAACCAACTACCTCTCGGCAACGACCACGAAGAAGATATTTCACCAGACGGAAAGAAAAAGAGCCTCGACGCTGACGACGCACTGCAGCGTAGCATCACCAACAACCACTCTCGCATTGATGAGAATATTCCGATGAAGACTTATTGGGAGCGTATGGCTCTAGTGTCGCCTACGAACGAGCATGTCTTCCGGAACCTAGTTGACTCTTTCGTCATCCTTGTCACTTTCCCTGCCGTGGCCTTTACAGCCATTACCTTTGGAAGCCTTCTGGCTCTTTTCGCCCTGGTCATGTCTGTTCAAGCGACGTATTTGTTTCTACCGCCATACAATTTCACAGCCATAGGCGTCGGCCTTATCAATCTTTCCGGTTTCATCTCAGCTATTCCCGCAGCCTTTGTTGGCGGCTGGTTGGACGATCGGCTCATTTTGTCCTTGTCAAAGAGAAATGGCGGACTATACGAGCCCGAGATGAGACTGTGGCTGTCGCTGCCTTGCATAATTCTCACACCTGCAAGCGTCCTCATGGTCGGCTTGGGATTTTCCTACGTAAGATAGAAACAAGATCGCTTTTCTACAAAACTTTTGCTAATGCTTTTATATAGGGCGTCGCTTGGCCTCTTGTTGCTGTGGGTTCTGGCTCGTTCAGCTTCTGCCTCGCGGTCTCGGGAAGCATCGCACTTTCTTACACCATGGACTGCTACCACTCTGTACGTTTCCTATCAGTAGCTAGGACCAGAACATTTGCTGACTTGTTGGCATTTAGATTGTTGGATCATCTATGATTGGAATTATTTTTATGCGCAATGTTTTTGCCGTCGTAATTCTATTTGCACTAACTCCGTGGATTACGGCAATGGGGCTCATCAATGTCCACGTCATTGTGGCAGCTGTCATATTTGTTATTCAGTTACTTGCAGTGCCGTTCCTGATTTGGGGCAAGAGGTTCAGAGCTGCTACGGCTCAGAGATACCGTGATCGCGCCAAGCGCCAGCCGACAGCTCGCGACTAGAATAGCTAGTCGTAATAACATTATAGGGTAGATGGCGAGATATTTTTCCCCATCCTAGGATAGATTGATAATCATTTACTTTGCGTTAAAGAAGGAAATCGAATTCACTTAGCCGTTTTTCTACACAATTAGTAGGTTATTAGTTTATAACTACTCTAGACTCTAGAGAGATACTCTTTACATTCTTAAACTCTAAGTAGTAGTATATAATATAGTTAAATTATTTTATATTTAATAGATTATTATTATAAATTATAATATAAGAAATAAAAAGAAATAATTTATTATATATTAAAAAAGAATACTATAATAAAAGAAAATAATGTAAATAATAAAATAGAATAAAGAATAAAATAATATAATATAAAATAAAAGTAAAGAATAGAATAATAAAATTAGAAAATTAAAATAAAATTTAATAGTTTTAAAGTTTTTTAAAAGAAATTAATATTTTATAAAGTAATTAATAATAATATTCTTCTAAAGGTTTTATAATAATAGTTAGTATAATAGTATTTTTATAGTAAGACTTTTAATAAAAAATATCTTTTAATAATAGAATAGTTTTTTAGATTAATTAATAAAGTTTTAATTTAATTATATATTAAATATCCTCTTTTATATATATTTATCCCTTTTTTTACTATATCTTTTAGACTGCTATACTTTATTTATAAATTTATAAATCCTAGATTAATACTAGATTATTATAATATTTAAGAATTTAATTATATAATTAACTTTTTTTTTTTTATTTTTATTCTTTTATATATAGTTTATAGTTACTTATTAAACTACTATAATCTGTATTTATAATACTTTAGTATATTTATAAGACTACTATAATAACTACTTATTAGTACTCTATTTTAATAATAGTTTAATACTAATCTATAGTTAGTTTATTTTTTAAGAAAAAGTTAATTTAAAAGTATAGAGTACTAAAAGTAGTTATTATACTATAAATTATATTAAAAAATATCTCTTAATAGTAAAGTTATTATTTAAATTAATTAATAAAAGTCTAGTCTAACTATTTACTAAATATCCTTTTTATTATATATTTATTCTATTCTCTATTATTATTAGAGTCCTATTAGGGCACCTATTAGAGCCCCTATATTATATATATTAAGTGTGTATAAGTACTTATATAATAGTAAGCTACTACTAAGCTCTCTATAAGGAGGTAGTAATAATTCTATATTTATAAAAATATAAAAGGGATTATTATATAACTAGAGTCCTCTAAGTAAAGTACTTTATAATTATATTACTCTTTAAAAATAAATATAAGAGTTAAAACTATAGTCTAACTAGATTAATAGTTTAATAGTCTAAAGTATAAACCTAATAGAGGAGACTCTCTTTTATATATAATAACTACTTTATAATACTTTCCTTCTTTCTTCTTTCTATAAGAGATTTAATTTAACTTTATATTAATAGTTACTTATAGTAACTATACTACTACTCTTTAATAATTAAATCTTTTATTAAGGTTTTTACTATAATAAAACTAAAGTAGTCTTCTTAAGATACTCTAATAGACTATATTAAGTTAGTATTATTAGATTATATAGAATATACTATTTTTTATTATAATAAAAACAGAATAAAAATATATTAATATAAATAGTTAATACTTTTTTATAATACTTTATATTATTTTAATCTTTATTTATTTAATTATTTTAAAACTATTTTAATTATAATAATACTATTTAATTATTAATATAAGAATAGGATATTTATACTAAAAGAATAAATTTAACTAGTATATTTATATATATTAATAATATAGTTTAATATTTTATTTTACTTTATTTATAGAAAAGGGATTTTATAAAGTATTAAAAAATAAATTCTATTAAACTAATATTAAAGTAAAAATAATAATAGTAAACTTAGATAAAAGTAATACTATATTATATTATACTTTAGTAAAAGAATAGTACCTTTTAGAATAATATAATAAGTTTAAAGACCTTTCTATAGAAGAAAAAGTAACTAATCTACTTTTAATATAATTAAGGTTTAATTATAATATAAAGTTTAAAATATAGTTAAATAGTATATTAAAATAACTCTTTTATAAAAGACTATACTAAATATCTTATAATTAGTTACTAAAAGTATATTAATAGCTTCTTAATCTACTTTATAAAGGTTAAATATAAACTAGCTCTTTTTTACTATAGAACTAGTTCTTTTTATTAAGAAGCTAGCTAGTAGTTAGTAGTTTTATATAGACTATAAAACTAGAAATACTATTATAGAAGATAATTAATAAACTTTATAATTAATAAAAAAAATACTTTATACTCTTTTAATAATAAAATAATATATAAAAGTTAATATTTATTTAGTCTTTTATAAAGTCTAAATAAAATTAAAATAAAAGAAATATATAATATTTTATATTTACTTTAATCTATTTAAATAGTTTTTATACTTATTTAGACTTTCTAAGGCCTTAATAAGCTTTTAAAGATATATTAAAAGTATATTAAAG